TGCCACTTGGATATTTAATGGCGTTCGGTGCAAACACAAATACAAATATAAATGCGCACAAGTACAAATACAAAGCCATAAGTATACGTGAGAAATCAAAAATGTTGCGATAAGCGCAAGGACTAGCCACGTCCTTTGGCTCGCCTTCAGCTCAGCGACTGCGAATCGAAAGCCAAGTGCTCGAAAGTGCGAGAGCACTGCAGGATTATCGAGCACGTACACAAAATCGAATCGAATCGAACCGAATCGCATCGCACCGAATCGAGTCGAGTCGAGTCGAGAAACTTCAAATTTAGATTGAAGTGCCGCGCGCCGAATGGCAACAACAGAAAAAATGACGCAAGCTGGCTAAGCTTCACCTTGTTAGCGGCTTGTTTGCTTTTCAATTTTCGGTCTGAAGCCGAAAACGGCAATAAATCCTGTCCCAAGTGGGCGCACAAAGTACCACTAGCATCCTTCACTGGCGCGTCAACTGCAAGTGGAGCTGAAGTGCTCTAGCAGCGCTCCCTACACAACCCACCTTGCCCCCACCCCCCCCTTCAACCACTCCATTGAACTGCATAAATTAAAATGTGCCACCTGGCATCGACGCCCACTTTGTTGCTCCCAAGATGGATGGATGGGCCCCAACGCAGGGCAGCTTCCCGTGCCATAGATCCCAGCTGCAAGCGCGTATTGAGTACGTTTCGCTTTTGGGCAACTTGAGCCACAGCTGCACTGCGTACAATATTTAAAACAACTTATTAAACTTTAACGGCAGCTCAGAGCAGTCTTGTGTGCTCTATAAAATTGATCGTCGATATAAATTAATTACATTAAATAATTTATTAAATTGCAAGCCCTAAAACTATATGCAAACGAGAAAGTAAGGATAACTTTGAAGATATGTGGAAATAGTGAAGCTCGTAAATGCTGAGTTTGATTAAAATGTCGAGGAAAATAGAATATGTTGCCATATAAGAAGCTACTTTTCGAAAGATCTTTTCAATGGCAGCTATATGATATAGTGCTCCGATTTTGAAAAGATTGTACTTATATGTAAGGAGCATGGTGAAAATTATAAATGGTAAAGATATCTTGATAAATAAAAAAGTCTCCATACAAGAACCGCCTTTTCGACCAATCTTTTCCATGGTAGCTATATGATATAGTAATCCCATCCAACCGGTTCCCATATATGCCTGAAAAGAAATGTCTTCAAAATAGACCCAAAATATACAGTCGTATGAGCAACATGCATGTTTGATCAATCATGATGCAAAGTACTTTCACGTTGTGCTACTTTCTTTCGAGTTAAACAAACTTGAATTTGTGGCATAGTAAAAGACGTCCTAGAACGTTGATGGCCGTGCAAAAGCTTGAGCCATAAACTATTGCAAGTACATTCCTGTGGCGAGTACACGCTCGTTATTTAAAGTTAGCACATCGAAGACATTTCGCCAGCTCATGAATGTATGCATTTCAATGGAATCGGGGTAATAAAACAGTTAAGAGTGCTGCCAAAAGCCACGCGAAGTCCATCAATTTGTGGCGATTTGCTGGCCCAGCTTTGAATTCCACGGGTTCGAGGCGAACGTCCATTGAAATCAACAATTTATCCGGATGCCAAGCAGTTGGCACTATTTAAGCCGCTTGGTCTCGCGCGTAATAAATATTGCATTCTTCATTTGTATGCACAGCCACGTGTTTTTGACTTTCAGCTAGTGTTTGCTGAGAGCTGCGGTGCCGGCATAATAACCAGGACCAAGCCAGGACCTGGTCGGTCCAGACACGAAATAATGTGATGCAAATTTCGTGTAATCATATGCAAAGTCACCTGCCGCACTGCGTTGTCTGTGCGCTTCAACTGGATGGGCTTGGCGAAGGAGCAGGAGAAGTAGCGGGAGGCAGAGAAGGATCTGGCGGAGGCGGAGCATCGTCATCATCAACGACAACGAAAGTTTATGTACTTGACAACTGGGTGATGGCAGCTCGTGCTGACGGGGGTTCACGAGGTCAGTGAGATGTCAAGAGGTCGGAGCTGCGTGTAACCAACGTGCAGACAAATATAATGAACTTATGTGTCCGCATAAATATTCATTAATTTGCATCCGAGTCCCTTTATGTTTATAGATCTACTTGTCTTGGCACATGTGTGCAAAAAGCACAACGAAATCCATTTTTAATATTTAGCAGCCGCTGTTGCTCTGGGCTAATGAAAGGCTCAACGGGGCCAAGTTACGATGCTTTAATCGTCCATTTGCAATTCAACGAAAATTGTTGCGCACCCATCCGAAATTTACAGCGCATCTCATTAAAATGTAATTTCTCAACTTGTTACTCAAAAACTTTGATAATGTGGGTCAGGGCCAACATCATCAGCAGCAGCATTCGTGGCAATTTCGGCTTAAACGTCGGCAAAATCCAACCCACAGCCATGGGACACCTTTAAGATCTGTGGCAGCCACGCTCCGGACCTCTAGATGATTAACAAATTGTGTATGCAATCTGTTAAAATTGGTTGATATCAATTAGGCCGCAAAGTGCAGGCGTTAAATTTTGATTAAACGAATCGCGTCAACACAATTAGGTCGGCCCTGCAGTTAATTGACATGCAGCTGAACAAACACGACCAATGCCCCACCAGCACCACCTTAACCACCTGCAGTACTTGCAGCGCCAACAACACGGACACGAAACGCTGCGGCATCGCTGGAAACCGCAACACAAATCTTTAATGGCGAGTCGACCGCATATGCGATTGTGCATTTCGCACAGTGGGCCACACAAAAAGAAACTAAATCCAGCTATTCAACATTTAATTAAAATTAAAATATTGCAAAAAGATTGCTTTCCAAAAATATTTGCTATCTGGGTTCAAATACGTGCGATTACAACCATACTTTTGTTTTTATTATTCATCCCAAAATAAAAAAAAATTAACCAACAAATCTACAGTAAATATTCGCTATATTTATATATTTTCTATATTCTATATTTTCATAGAAATCGGGCGCAAAACAATCGTCAAAAGTTGTATATATTTGACCCTGCTTTATTTACTTTCAATTTTCGTTGTTTGAAGTATAAGAAAAAAAGGCAAACTACGCAAAAGTAAGAGGATTATTGGTGAAAAACAAAACGGAAGAAATTTTATTTTTATACCCTGAACTCATTGAAAATGGGTAAAGAGGGTATAATGATTTGTTCAAATGTATGTAACAGGCAGAAGGAAGCATCTCCGACCCAATAATGTATATATATTCTTGATCAGCATCAGCAGCCGAGTCGATCTAGCCATGTCTGTCTGTCCGTCTGTCCGTCCGTCCGTCTGTCCGTATGTACATATGTACGCAAGGATCTCAGAACCTAAAAGAGCTAGAGACTTGAAATTTAGCTGTAGGTCCTCCTAGTCCCCGCGAAGAGTTTGTTTCCGATAGTCGATCACTTGCCCCGTTTCCAAGTAATCTATAAAAATCGATATCGAAATCCTGTTTTTTGACAAATAATAAGAGCTAGAGTCACCAAAATTGACATTTAGCTGCTAGAATAGTATATATATAGCAACTATTTTTCATTTTATACCTATCGCCTGTTGGAAGAAGAGGGTTCAGGGTATCCCCTAGTCGGGAGCTCCCGACTAGAACTTCTTACTTGTTTCTTTTAAATTTGTGCGTGCGTTGCCGACAACCTTTTGCGGACTTTAAACGCTTCCCAATATATTAAGTATACGTAGACGTAAACCAAAAATTGTTTGCTTATTTTTTTTTAAAGAAGCTTTAAAGCTTTTCTTCTCAACGATATAAGGCCACGAAATAAGAGCACCATTTTATATAAGACAGATTGGGGGTAGGGTATAAAGATTTATGATAAATGATTGATATTTGCAAGAGCATAATTAAACACGGACATCGCGTGCAGAATTAATTGAAAACCTTAAATGTATCGACGACCATTTAGAATATTTAATCAGTATTTAATAAGTATAAAAAATTATTAATTAATTAATTTAAATACAAACATCGCGAAAATCGAGCATATCAGCGAAATATTATCTGCATAATTTTGATGGGAATTTCGCAGATCACCTTTAACAACATTTTCATATAATACGTTGCCATTTGAGACCAACCTATGCCAATGTGCAGTGGGCACCCTTAACAGGAGGGCAGTCAATTGGACGCTGGCCGCAAAAGTGTATTGAAATTTGCGGTCAATGCAAAACAAATCCCAACTCTATTGAACGCCTGGATAAACAGGAGCATGGCGCTAAGAACGGATGAGGAGGAGGAGGAGGTCGTGAGAAGGTTGTGAATCGCCGTTGAGTGAAAGCCAATTGCGAATTGTGTTTTCAATTGATTTGCTTGAAATTGCATATGGCATTGCATTGGCATTGGCAAACAGGCCCCACACATTTTGGAGCAGCCAGAAACCGTACCCTGCGGTCGACTGTTAATCAAAGAGCAGCCCCAACAAACAACGAACCCGGAGCACTGAAAGGCCGTTGGCCAAATGCAAAAAGACAGGCATTCCTAATTTATAGGCAACATGGCATTAAGTTAATTATTTATATTGGATCCAGAACCGGCTCCAGAATAAATGTCTTGCAGCCTGTCCATCTCGTCTTGTGTACTTTGTGCCCGAAAAAAAAACCAAAGCAGTGGCAAACGGAGCCTGTCTGACTAGGACTAGCACGACGAAGACAACAAGAAGGACACTTCACTCCCAAGTGTTGTTCTTTAATTTCAAAGTGATAAAAAATTAACACGACAGCGAGCGAAATTCGGTCCGCCCCAAGGGGTGTCCAAAATACACACGCACACACACACACACACACATTCACCAAGTGCTGCGATGAGAAATGGCCTCTTATTGGTGTCTGCGACTGCCATTAGTGCGTCCGCCTTGGACGCAACGCCAAGTGTCCCGCATCCGGATCCGCACACTTGAGGTGAGAAAAATGTGGGAGGAGCCGCAGAAGTCGCAGCAGCCCGGACCGAAAGCTGGGCTGTGTTGGCAGGGCGTGCTTTAGCTGTCAGCTCTGGAAATGATTTATATTTGTTATTAAATTTGCAGTAGCATTTGAATACTGAAGCCCTGGCATTTGATTGCCATTATTTGCCGACAGAATGAGGGCAATGGCGCACAGCCAGGGCATTTGCTCGGCGGTCGTAAAGTGGCCCGCCCGAGTCCATATTGAAAAGTTGCAATCGTAGCTGCTGACTGACCCGCCCGCCACTGCTCCAACTGACAAATGGAAATTCGTGGCGCTTTAAGGTTGTTTTTTCTTTAAGTGTAAAGAAATCTTCGGGCTTTCTCATTATACATACTTATTTATAAAAGACGGTAAGTATGTTGCGGCCAAATATCAATCAGGCTAACAAGTTTTATGCACAGCTGCCAGCTGTTCCACAGCTCAACGGAGCTGTCATCTATCACTTGCCCTTCGTGTCAAGTCGAGCCTAGACAGGATATTCTCTGCCCAGCGAAAGCTGAAATCATATTTATTTAGTGGATTTGTTTAATTTTCCAACCTGCTAACCGATTAGATTAACCGACAGCTTGATATATACTAGAGAGTGCAATTTTCCCTCCAATTCGGGAACGAAATCAATTTCAATTATGCATAATAATATAATTGAGAATTTATATGGAAATGTCGCAGTTGCACAAATTGGCTCAGCTCTTCTTCTGGACGGACGTGCAGCGCACGTTTGTTGCCCTTCACATATTTGCATACTAACGTTAGACCTAAATATTTTCATTTTTCTGTATATATTATTTGTATTTCTGTTCCTTTTCCTTGCCGGCTTCTCTTTCATATGCACACACACACGCCCACACAATTTGATGCCTTTATTGCCCAGAGTATTTCACACGGGCGTTCCTTTTATTGATCCCATGGCACAGTAGCGCAAAGTAGTCCAAAATTGAAGGTAAACAAAAGGAAATCCCCTAAGTGAGACTTGCTGTAAGTGGATGTGTGAATCGGGAGCCGTCCATTATAAGAAATGTGAAATATTTAAAGCCGCAACTAGTTTTGTCGTAGCTGTGATTGTGATATATAGCCCAATTAGTCAGTTCGTATTATACAGTCCAATTAATATCTGAAGTTTGTATACTTTTATTCTATCTCTCGTTTAGCCCGTCTATTGAACAGGCAAAGAGCCGAGGAAATTGTCAGCTTTAATTGGATATTTGTTATTTGCTATTTAAGATTTATATAAAAATTTAATAATTTAAGAGAAACACAGCTCACTGTGCCAAAAATGCCAATCGTTTTAACACGGCAATGACTTTGCGCACCATAAAATAGGACCGCTTCCAGATGAATTTTCAGTGGAAGTGTTAAGTGAAATATGTAAAAGCAAATCATAATCGTCTAACAAATCAAACTTATATGCGCTCTAAAGCCCTATTTTATGAGACTCAGTCAGAAGCGAGCCATAAGAGCCGCAGCCCCAACTGAGCTCTATAATCCCGTAGCAGAAATCAGGCTCCAGCACAAAATACGCACTTTTGGCCAATATTTGATTTGACTTTTTTCGTGCGGCACAAAAACACACTGGGGTAATATTAAGAGGCAAACGCTACGTAAATGGAAAGGCACTATAAATGCTCTTTAATTCTCAAGTCCTAAAGTATGGGTACACTATAATGCTACTTGTCTTGCGATTGGAACTCTGTTAAACGCATTTGTTTTTCGCCTTCCCTAATCGCTGTTAAGTGTATAAACTTAATGCTCGTATCTATGGGTTTATAAGTCATTTTACAGCTATAGCAACACATCAATAATAATAATCGCATTCATAGCTGCTCAGTACACATGTTTACATGACCAGCTGTCGACACACTGCCGCGGGCTGCTTCCCAGTAATATACGAAAATTGCGCGAAAAAGTTTCCATATTGCCTTAACATGAAGCACGTGACGTCGCTTAGAAAGTTTCTCATATATTTTTTTTTATTTTTATATCTCTTCCATTAGTAGCTGCAGGCAGTTGAAAAAAAAAATGCCATCAATATGTATGCAATGTCTCAAGTTGAAACAATATCCGAGAGACATCAATACATCAGCCCAGGGGCGGAACTGCCGCAAATGCACAAAGTTGTGCAGCTAATGGATAAAACATATATTTCAATAACTTATAGAGATTTTGAATTTAAACACTTAATTTGCTATATTCCTATAACGGCTTGATCAGCCGAGAAGTTTCATGTTTGTTTATCCCTAACATAATTAGCTTTGAAAAGGGCATAGCTGGCCGAAGGGGCAAATGAAATGCCGCCATCGTGTCGGAAACCCTATTAGAAATTGTTGTATTCTGATTAGACTTTTAGATTTTAATTTTTCTATTTTTATGCATTTACTACTTCGGTTGACCCTCGCTATGTCGAAGTCGACAAAAGCTTAGCTAAATTGGAATATGCTGCTGTCTTGTAAGCGAAATATTTCTAAACTCATTTCCTTTCAATCAATCCTTTCTTGCTTATGTCTTAGAAATGAGGAATAGTTCAATTAACATTTAAGAACTTCTTACTAAACAACTGAAACAACATTTAATCTATGACAGCTCGCATCTAACTATGCATACTTGTTTTCAGAACCATTTCTAGTGTGGAATTAAGGCATTTGGTGTTGGAAACGATACGCTGCAACTGTTGGATCCATTTTCGATTGCACATGCCCATGCATATAAAGATAGGTCAAATGTCGCACAAACAAGCCAATGCTCATCCGCCAGATATTGTGCAGCGATGCCATGCTCGTAATTACCCAACCAGGAGAAGCACTTCAACATGCCATTGTTGCCAAACTGTCGTTTGACAGATTTCTGCATAGTTTCACGGCTGCCATGGCAGGCATCGCTCTGATACCAAGCCCAGACCCAGTCACCAGGCACCTAGATTCCAGCTTAGGCTCGGTAGGCAGCCCATTCACTCATTGCCATGTGCCGACAAGTACTCACTACTCGAGGGGCATGGGACGAGCAGCCAAGAGCAGCGCAGGACAGGAATGATGAAGGAGAAGTGGAGAGGAAACGAGGCCTGGCATTTACACAGTTGGATGATTTAGATAAACAAGACATGAGCTGTCACACAAAGCTAAAAAAAATCAAGTACTTTTGCTTCAGCTGAGAATGCGCGACTAGCAATCACTCTGTATCAAATACAAACACGATTCGGATTCCTTTCGCCCCACGTTTTGGGAAATTCATTCGGAATATACCTCTTTTGCCTGATCCACACGTGAGTTAAACTCTATCATACTCATTTTAGACAATTCATAAAGGATACAGGGTATATAAAAGTAAAACAGCAATTATTTAGTTGTCAAGTCTAAGCTTAAGGGATACGCTATTCCTAGGTCTAAGCCATTATCTGAACTAACCACATTATCAATATAATTCATTAATATAACAAACCAAGTTATTATATTTAAGACGTAAGCCTTTGCCTGTTAAGCCCCCTACTCAATCTGCCTAAAGGGTATAGAAAATGGAAAAGGAAGCCGAAGCAACTGAGACAGAGCCAAGCTAAAGTAGTAGTTATTATTACGCAGGATAAAGCAAAGAGATTAGAACAAATCTGTGATTGTGACTGCGATGGAACAGTCAGATGGCAGACAGACTTTTGTTTTTTGGCCTTTTTAGAAATCAAGCCACAAAAACCGAAAATACGAGTGATTTAATTTCAGTTAATTTTGCGTTCCATTTAATTAACTCTCACATTGGCAACTTTAAGCTAGAATTGCAAATTAAGACAAGCATTCCAACCAAATCAATGGCAATGCTTTTAGTTGGCTATTTTTGCCTTGAATTTATCACATGTTCTCATATTTGATAGCTCACTAAACTATGGACAAGTGATATTTGGCCTTAAATAACAAAGAGCCAGTCGTATAAATAGAGCTGCCCATTAAAGTTGGTCGGCAGTTGCAGCCCTAAAGATGGTGTGATATTGTGTATATGCGTGGGTGTTAGTATAAAAATATAATTTAAAGCTGAAAGAAGAAGAGCTAGAAGAATAAATGAGGATGCCAATTGGAGTTGAGTTTAATTTGAAGCTGCGACGCGGCCAGCTGCAGTTAGTACAAGCGTAATTATGCTTGCGTGTTGGGGTAAAAACATGTAAAACAGATCAAACATTTAATTTCGGAAGAAGAAGAGACAGCAGTATAAAAAGAGCTGCCTATTGAAGCTGAGTTTTAGTTAAAGCTGCGACGCAGCCCGGTGCAGATAGTGTGTGTGTGTGTTTGTAGAAAGATATGAAAGGCAGATCATGCATGTAAGCTGGGAAGAAGAAGAGACAGCAGTATAAAAAGGGATGCCTACTGGAGCTGAGTTTTAGTTGAAGCCGCAACGCAGTCAGCTGCAGTTGGTTCGAGCGTAATTGTGCGTGTGTGCTTGTGTAAAAATATGAGAAGCAGATCATGTATGCGAGCTCGGAAGAAGAAGAGATAGCTGTATAAAAAGGGCAGCCGACTGCAGCTGAGTTTTAGTTGAAGCTATGAGGCGGCATAGTGAAGTTGGTGTGTGTGTGAGTGCGTGTGTGTTTGTAATAAAATATGAAGAGCAGATCATGCATGTAAGCTGGGAAGAAGAAGAGATATCAATATAAAAGGGGCTGCCTATTGGAGCTGAGTTTTAGTTGAAGCTGCGACGCGGCCCAGTGCAGATGTTGTGCATATGTGTGCGTGTGTGGTTGTATAAAAATATGAGAAGCGATCATGCATATGAGAGAGAGGCCAGCCGTATAAATAGAGCTGCCCACTGTAGCTGGATTTTAGTTGATGTTGCGTCGCGGCCCGCTGCAGATGGTGTGTATATGTATGGGTGTGTGCATGTAAGCTTGTGTTTAAATATGTAAGGCCGATCATGCATATCAATTTGAAAGAATGAGAGGTAGCAGTATAAAAGGAGCTGCTAATATTATTTGGATTTTAGTTGATGCTGCGGCGCAGCCTAGTGAAGCTGGGGTATGTATGTGTGTGTTATATATGCTTATATAAAATGCAGTATAAATAAGGCTGTTAGACAGAGAGTTAGAGCTGGGTTAGTTGCAACCGCTACATTATGTTATTTGTATAAAAATAACTAAATTAAGATCATAAATATCTTTACATAAAGTTGCATTAAAGTTGAGACCACATAGAATATTGTTCAATTTGTACTAATATATAAAAAAAGTTTTATTTTCTTACATAAATCAAAAGAGAGAAGATAACTTTAGAATTGTCGAGGGTTCTTTGAGCATAGAAATTTGTTTTATTATTATTTATTTTTTTTTTTTTTTTTTTGTTTGTTTATTGTATTGAATCAAAAATAGCATACATTTTATTATTAATTAAATTAAAATTTTAAAAATCGGACCTCAGATATGTGAAAACCCTTAACTTTATTATGAATAGGCGGGCATGTAATTTTGATAAGAAATATATTTGCCTAATGTAAACAATCAGTTATGTCGTATAGTCTAGAATTTAAATCAGTAAATTATTTGTTTAAATTGGGTGTCCTCAACTTGTATATGTCTGGGTATTGACCCAGGACTTAATTAGTCTTGTGGAATTTCAAAAAATTTGCCAAGTGCTTAGCTAAACTGCAGGAATTGCGAAAAAGTTTCGCATTTTCCATTTACAACCTGTTGGCGAGCGGCTGTAACATGTGTCCCGCTCTGATGGCATCAAAGCACTGAGTCCTTACCGCGTCGTATAGCTCGCATTTACCATCCCCAATGTTCCGAAGTATGCTTGTGGATGCTGTGCTCTCTTCTGCACCATTTTCCGAGTCTGCGCAATACTAAAAACTGGGAACAGTTTGTTGTGCCTTCTAATATTTGCTTTGTTTGAGCAAATGCGAGCAATGCACTTGAGATAATTCGCCTGATAATTAAGAGACATGGCGATCAATCTTGTCCGAGAGACAGTCAGCGTCCCAACAGTTCACACTGGAGCCGATTTGAAATATTTAAATCCATAAGAGTGCAAACGAAGAGTCAACTCGTAATAATGAAATATTATGACGAGCATGGGAAATTGCGTTTGGGCTTTATTCCGGCTGCTGTTGTTCTGGCCCCGTATCAGGGTGTTCGCCGGTGCGTCCGTGCGCAATTGTGGGATTAGCCTAATGAGGTGTGCTGGCCACCCAGTGGCCGTCTGATTGATGGTCGTGATTATTCAGCCTGACAGGCTTACCAGTTGTCCAGCACACTATCCGCAATCCCGACGCCCCCCCCAAAAACCCAGCCAAGCGGCGAAACTAACTGCAAACATTGCTGTCCTGCATATTATCTGTCCGGTTGTAACCAAAATACATTTTTAGTCCTGGCCAAATGATGCGTTGCCCCTGGCGCTGTTCGCATATGTAAAATTATCCAATTTCAAATGCATTTTACTGCATTAGGCGGGGCGCACGTGACGAGCGGTGCGGTTGCGGCGACAAATTTGCATATTTGCCGCGGGGCGTCTGTGCGACGCATTCTTGGAACCCTTTTTGGCTTTGGCTCACCTGGCAAATAGTGCAGGTGGGATGCCGTTTTCTTTCGGTGGGGTGGCTATTATTACTGTCAGCCATTTTATGGCCGTGATGGAGGGCAAAGAGCAAAACGCTCGCTCCAAGGTTCCATTAGCCAAATGTTAGATACGAGCATTTGGCAGGCGAATATTGCCTCCTAAGTGGTTGCCATTAAATTCAATGCTGTGATCAACATCTTTTGTGAAAAACAAGTTTATTCACTTAAAAATCATAAAATAGCTGAATACAGAAAGAAGCTTCAAATTTCTTTTGGTAATGGCGCTGTGGAAATAGTCTCAATTTGAACGAAGACGAGATTTTCAGTCTGTAAATACTTTCTATTCTCTTATACGATTTTTTTATTGATATATATAAAAGGTACATCTGTAGATCTTTAATATTATTTGACTTACCACTTTAAATATAGGTTCACGTTTATCTTAATACGAACCAGTTTCTTCTATATAATTTCCTTGTTTTTATTAACTCGTAAATAGATTCTGTGTATGCTTAATATTAGTTAGTTCTTCCACAAATTATTTAAAACTTTTTTATATGGAATGCTTTTGTTATGGTTAACATAAGCATCAAAAAGTTATGTTTGTTTAATCCAATTTAAGTTAGTCGACAGGCGGCAGACTAAAATTTATATCAGCATTAATTTCATACAAACTTAAACATAAGATATGGTCTCTTTAATACATGCATGTCTTAGCATGTGCACTAAAATTATATATTTCTCACCAAAAACAACATTTTAAACATTGTTTAGTCATGCCTATAAAAATACTGTGTACTATATACTTTCTCACGTGCATGTATTTGTAGGCCTAGCCTAATTTTTGCCTGTGGGCTGCATTTTAAATTTATTGAGTTGACTGCCGCAAAGTGTTGCGACATGTGTTTGTGTGTGTGGCTGTGTATCTGTGTGTGTGCACAGTCTGGGCGTTCGCACCATAATTATTGAGGAAAACACGTCATAAAATATGAACGTACATTTCCGAAGCTGACTAGAAGTTTTAATTGCTTTTCCGTATGCAACTTATGGCCATATGCAGCAGCAGCAGCAGCACCCAAGTAGAATTTGAACCAAAAACACCATCCCCAACCCAAGCCCAACTGCCATTATTCAGCCTTATTCCGTTCTGGGCAGACACGTGCCAAATTCTGTTGTTGTGCATTAACGAAAGACATTCTCCCAGCTGCTGCACAACAACTTTGGGGCCCTGTGCATAACGAAGCCATAAAGGAGCCCTAGTACAGGTAGAATGTCATAAAGTTGACAATGCTAAGGGCTGTCAAGATGCCCCCATTCGGTACACATACCGCAGGACGTAGGATATGCAGCATAACAAACCAGCATAAATTATTTACAACTTAATCAAATCCGACCTAGTCCTTATTCCTGCTGTGTTGACTCTGCTTGCAGGGGCAAAACTTCATTGCCAACTTGACAACTTTACTTGGAAAATTGGATGTTAATTACTCGAACTCCCCCTCCTCCCCTCTACTCTATCATAGTTGTAAACTGTGTTGTGTACATATTCATACAAAATGGCATATTTAATACACGCGTTGGCTAACCAGCTCGTGTTGCATCCAATATGCTGCTGTAAATCGCCTGCAGTTCGTTTCCGTTTTCAGTTTTCTACAAATGTAATGGTATCATTTCTCATTGAGAGCCAAAGCACGGCTGGGACTGCTGGGACGAGCAGCTGGAACTGTCATTGGCTTGGTAACAGCGCCGTAAAGAATTGAATCTTGCTTTGTTCCTGACATTTATGGAGCTGTGCTGCAGATGTATAGAATACCATGAACACGTCGTAATCATTTGCACCAGTTGTCTTATCGCTGAAAGCTGGGTTGCTTTTACTTAAGCTATATATAACACAGCACAAACCCCTTGCCAGTCATGGCACATCAGTTTCTGTTTCAAATCTAGTCTATTTTTTGTTGGTCTTGTTCTCATGCCCGACTTGGCCACATTGTTGACTTCCCATAAAAACACCGAGCAGCGCAAAAGAAAAGGAAAAAGAAAAGCAGATGCAATGCACGTGAAAGCATCAAGCGCTGCAATTTCGCAAATTGTCTTGAAATGCAAGAATGCATTTCATTCCTTTTTTGCCCAACCAACGGCCACGCCTCCTCACCTACCCATCCGCTTACACGCCCACTTATCAGCACGCACTGCTCTAGCTGCACCGCAGGCATCTGCTCGCCCGAATTATGAAAGTGGGCTGGGCCACGCTTAGCACTTGCCCAGGCTGAGTTGCCAGCGCAGCTTCTGCATTTCACAAAGACACAAATCAAGCTGTTACGAGGTTGGTTTTAAAAACTTTTTAAATGGATCTGCATTCTAATGCATAAGAATATATAAAATACAATACCAGAAGTTGTAACTATAACCTTGTCCTAGTCTTTCGCTTGATAGACATCAGATACTAATCGATTCCAGCGCATATTAAAAAATACATTAAAAATTATTTTATTTATTTTATACATCACATTTCATTGATTTTGATGTGCATGTTTTCAAAAGTCAAACAAAATTAGATTCGAAAGTTTCTTTAATTGGCTTAATTGTCTAATTTATTTATATACCTCACAGCACATCTACTTATTTCACTTCTGACAAAGCGAAACATCTTTGAACCCAGATTTTCTATATTTTGTCTTTGTATCTTGGTTTGTCATATTTTTTTTATAATTTTATTGATTCCATATATTCATATTTTCATATACAAATTACGCGCTAAATTTTCTCTCAAGCCCAAGTTGTTTATGTTCTTTAGCTGAGACTCAGTCCAAAGTTTTTTATATTTCATCAAAGCTTGTTTAGGTCGAAAGTAAAATATATATTAGAATTTTGGGTTTGAGTCGGTTAGGTTAGGCCAGGCTGGTTTACCTTAATTTTGGCCATATTATTTCTCATATTATAAATCCTAGTACCTATAGAACAGCCCTCAAAAGAAGTATATTATATACGAACTAAATTAGTCGCTTTGTGTGTAGGTCAGCAATTAACGTTGAAGAACAAGTCTGCCATGTCTAGGAGAAGCAAGACCCTTTGCAAAAGATATAAAAGTGTCCCTGTTCCGACACAGTCCCAAAACTGGTGCCACAATGGTGAGCCACAGAAATGCTTGTGCTCCGACTGCCTTACAACTCCAAGGATGACTTAAAGAGCTGCGCAGTTACACACAGTTGGCAGACACTGTATAACGAAAATATTCTTAGTTACAGCAAAGCAATTTCGCAAAATGCGCTTATATTGCCATAAAATATAATACGAGCAGCTATGTTCTGTGCGGGCACTCGGTAACCAAGGCCTTTTGGCCTTTTTTGTTGCCCTTTTTTAATAACTGAACTCTTAATTACAATCAGTACTCTCGACATATTACAAGTAGTCAGCATTTGGAACATCTGCTAACACACACACACATACGCCTCATTTGTACTAGTTTTGCTTAGTTCCAGGCAATAACATGAAGCACAAATTAAGCCCAAGTCCGAGCCCAAGCCTCCATTATTGTGCATGCTTAAAGTACGAGTACTCGCATGTGAAAGTCTTTATACTCGCAAAGTATTCACATATACAAAATTTAAGATAGATAGACACAGCTTAAGTTTAGTTATACGTATAATTATTCCATCACACTCAAGGTAATTAAAGTTTGCATACTTAACTAAGTCTCTGCTATTATAGGTAATTGTCTAATATAATATTTAGATCCTTTTTTTGGGCACTTGAGGCCCTTTGTATGATATTTCAATTTAATGGGCAGTTGTCCTATTTCGTTGTAGTCCAAACTAATATTAAAATACCATTGTTGGAATTCATATATGCCGATGACTTAGCAACTCTTGACCGACATGTGAGCTTCCCTATATACCCCTCACCCTTTGTGAATCAACAGAATCTATTGCACTTGTCCAAATTCTTACAGCCTATACATATATTCTTGGCCAGCTGCCTCTGTCTGTCCGACCATCTGTCTGAAAAGGGATTAGTTTCATCCTAAAAAAACAAAAATTTTTCATACTACAGTTTTTCACGCATTTTCCGCTCGTAGCGGTGAATTTAACTAAATCGGTGAAACATTTACGAATTCCTTAAAAATGATTTTAAAGAAAAGCCCTATTATCGAGCCTGTCTTTGATGCGAAGAATTTTTGTATTTTTCCTGCTCAGCCTAAAGCTCTTCGCTGCGAATCCCTTAGGATACAGTTCTTTGGTATGCCATATATTTTTGTTTTGGTTGAATTCATACGTGTCCTGCACCTCCAATGGATTAGGTTTAATACCGTCCAGTTTTTTACTGCGCTTCCATGCTATGAGCTCTGAAATTGGTTTCAAGACTAGAAAGTAGAGCACTTCGGCTATTGAGATCACGCTGAAACCCATAAACAATCCCATAACACCGCCAATATTAGCTGCATAGAAAAAGCGAAATGTTATTGTGCATAGATTTTTGCTTAGCCAAGTGCTTACACAAGAACTCCGTAAAGCCGATATAGACGTTCCTCATACTGCCGTAATAGGCAGATTCCCGGTAGTACAAATTCATGACGGCAATGTTCTCCAGCACATAGGATTTGTTCATATTGGCCAACTGTTTGTTAGCAATCCGAAAGTCGCGTTTGGCCAGGGGAAAGTATAACGCATCGGCCGCGTACGATAGATCAAAGCAGCTGGGCAGGCATTCCTTCCGGCATTTCGACGACTCCGGCCTATTCTCCGGACGCTGGGCGCGACGGATGCAGATCGCATCTCGCACGCTGCAGACGCTCGCATTTCTGTAAATATGCGGATAGGCGTACGGTATGCAGTTGCAGGTCTTGTACAGAAACTTGGCAATGCATTCGTTTTCGCAATATTTGTGTGTGTAGATCTTGTGGTAGAGCAGCTCCTTCTCGTTCTTAAAAACACACTGTCGATCGTCGCGTGATATGGAGCGAATGCTCGGCATCGCCTCTGAGCTGCTAACCTCGAGGCGAAAGTTCGTCTCGTAACCAACGCCCACAACAAGGCCCTCCTCCTTAACATTGGGCATCGTTATGGGATTGTGAAATAGGATCTGAAAATTGTTTTGAATTCCTTATAATTATGCCTATACAGCTGTAGTGTATCCTAATATAGGTATATTGATGTTTTTTAGTTAAACTTGACAAACATATTGCTCAAACTCTTTGAGAATTATAAGCATACTATTATATTATTCATTTGTGTACGATATGCATGCGAAGGGAATTATGAAATCCCTTCCCTTATTGAACTTGTTTCTTAACAAATCTTCCATTAATGAGCTTTTAGATTTATATACAGACCTTGAAACCAATTCCGTTCGTAGAGGAGCAATAATATTCGCTCAATTGTGCATCCAGAACTGCCGTAAAGCCCATTGTTATGCCGGTACCTATATAAAGTTATGGCAGCTATTATACGGGGATAATTATGCTAGAACTCAAAGAATTTACCAACAGCCGTTGTTGGATAATATAGTTTTGGCAAGTTCGCGGGATACCCGGTTTCTGGGTCCCAGGCGACGGGCACGTGTCCAAGTCTTCCTGTTAAGTTTTTGCCGCTATTCGAACTGAGATAAATGATTATATTGATTCAACTTGACTCAGTCAGGCCACTTACTAGGGCTTATATAAAAACTCTGAAGGCAGAAAATTGAATACACAACATAAGCCCTCATCAGTGATAATATGTCGGAATAATTGGGCGCAATCGTACTCCACGGCACTGAATCTGCAATACCGCAGCATTTGTGCGCAAGGCTGGGAATGATTGGTGACAAAGTCGGATATTCTTAAGCTGTTGTTGCCAAATAAAGTGGACCACATCGTGGGATCAGCATCCACAGATTCCTCAGTCTCGGTCGACTCGGGACTGCAGAGCAGTTTCAGAACATCAAACTCACTCGAACCCCTAGTTTAAGCAGAAATCAACGGGCTGTAATCACATACAAATACCGGAAGCACTCACTTCTTGTAATGCAGCACTTTGCTGCGCTGAACCTGATTCATGTTGCATATAGTTATGGCCGGGAAGGGCACCTTCAGAATCGATGTGGCATGCGGGCTGATGCCTATGATAACTGGCGTACTATTCCACTTGGCATAAATGTTCGATATCAGCTGGCAGGTCATCACGAATGCGGCCAAGAAGGCAATCAAGAAGAAGGATCTGCAACTCTTCTAGACTAAGTCGCATCTGGTGTATTATTTAGCGTTAACTTTTACCTTTCCCAAATGCTGAGCGCTGAATCGCCCACAAATTTCAGTCCGTGCAGTCCAGTTTCCCTTAGAAACACATTCAGACTTTTCTTGAAACTATTTAAGAAGAATGCCAAACTCTTTTGACTCTTCTGTTTGGCCGCCATTGCGTCGATTGCGTCTATTTGGCCACAATTCCGAGCTACTTATACTCAAGTATGCTCAAAGACATTGAAAATCCCACAGGGCGATTAGGCTTGGTAATTACTTGCTTCCAAGTAAATGGAGCTGGTTGCATAATAATTAGAGCTTATTGATTGAAAGCAATTCAACTGATTAGTTTTGTGGTTTTCGCTTCGCTCTCTAAAGACACTAATCAGTTATGCAGGACATACACTCTTCGAATCAAGCGTGTGCTAATTACTGAGAACTTGGCTTTGTCCTTTTGTCAAAGCGTGATCTCTAAATATAACCTACCTGTCATGCTATAGCCAAGCTTTCTGGCCGATAGTTGGCAAAAACAGATATGCTGGGACATACACTCTTGATGGGAAGCATATATGAATTACTGAGAACTTGGCTTAGTTAAACTTTGCCCATTTGACAAAGCGTGGCCTCTAAATATACCCTCGCTGTCATGTTATAGAAAAAATTGCTCACCGATTCTTGGAAATATTAATCAAACAAAGAGAAGAAGAAAGAACTAGGTTTTATTAAAGATACATTGTAAATTGCGGAGCTTAGCGCTGGCATACACTAAGCATGAAGTCTCCACGAAATAGAATATTTTAAGGAAAAACTCCCCAAAGAGTGTTCACCCTGATTATAACTGATCAATTGGAGATCAGCGTAGAGATCGAAGACCCATATACCCCTATATATCTATATATATTTCTCAAGCTTTTAACCGACATGCGTTACTTCTTATTTGTTAACTATTAAAGACGTTCTTCATAATTTTCAGAAAATGTATTTATTGATCGATTTGCATTTATTATTTTATTAATAATTCAATATACAAATATATATGAGATTCTGACAGTCATATCAAAAGATATATGTACTTCTTGGCTAACGTATGCCTTATCCATATGTAGTCTGATAAGATAAAGAAAATGTAATCAATATTTTTCTTGCGTTCTTATCACTTATTGTTGCAAGAAATTAAAGCTTATGCATATCTAAAAAGCACAAATATGAAAGATTAGCCAAGTTTACCCGGCATTGCACGACACAGATTAATTATCGGTAGATCACAAGTCGATCAATTTAACTAATTAGTTTTATGTGCGTGGACTCAAATCTATTTCTATCTAGCATCTATTTATAAGCACAAATATATATATGCAAAATTATGTTTAATTATATCTTTAACTCTGTGGCAAGCATTTTTATTCATTGATAACAAAGCTTTGCTGCTCAGCTAAAAGCTTCTGCACGTGATCACGAACCGGTTGTGAGAGGCCGGCTAAAAAGTTGTTGGGGCCAGTTAATCAGTTCCATTTCGGTTTGATCGCAATGAGGGTACGACGAAATCCGCTCCCACGGCGGCTGGTCGATATTCTGTGCTATCTGGTCATTGGTGTATTTCTGCCCATTGTATTCATATTTGAAATAATTGTTGTGCTGCCAGCTATACACGAACCTGGCGGCTTTTTGCACACCTTCACTTTCCTTATGGCCATGTTTCTGTTGTTCAACATCAAGGGCAACATGTTGGCCTGCATGATGATTGACACCAGCGTTGACCGTGAGTAGAGCTAGAACTAAATTCAGAGATTTCCATTTAACTTATTTAGAATTACCTTCGTTTTCAGTTGAGCATGTCAAGGCGCCGCCAGCTAGCGAGGCAGTGCGTCTGGGCTGGCGACATTGCACGACCTGCGATCGATTAGCACCTCCCAGATCGTGGCATTGTAAGGTGTGCGGTGTTTGCATACTGAAACGCGATCACCACTGTCTCTTTACGGGCTGTTGCATTGGCCATCAGAATAATCGGTATTTCATGTGCTTCACGCTGTACCTTCTGGTGGGCTCGATGTACGCCCTGGCCTACAATTCGGTCTATATGTGGCTGCTCAATGGGTCAATTTACTGCAACTGGCTGACTGTCATTAAGCTAGTGTGTCCCATGTTCATGCTCGTGATCGGCAGCTTCTGGACGAATGTGCAGCTGTTGTTCTATAGCCTGAACATCTTGGCGCTTTTGTATGCAAGTGTGATATTGGCATACCATGTGCCCATTGTGCTGCGCGGTGAGGTCTGTGCAGAGAGCGGCAAGCAGCACACATATAACAATGGACTCTATTCAAATCTGAGAAGTGTTTTTGGCCAACGCATGCATGTTGCCTGGCTGTCACCTTTGGTAAAAAGCCAGCTACCCGATGATGGCTACACCTGGACGACCAACTCTGCTGAGAAGTCGAAGGCAACCAAGAAGTCAAATTAAGTGAAGCACGTTGTGGGGGTTAATATTGAAGTAAATGCCACTTAAAGATTATTTATGTATAGAAAACAAGTCAGAACGTTGCAAACGACTGCGCAATACTCTTTCTTATTGTTCTGCTGCTGACGCTGAGACTGTAACCACAGCGCAGTCACTTTCAAACTGTGATGTGAGAATATATACATCTTTAGCAGAGGTCATAAGTATTTGAGGACTCTAGCTCTGTATATTCCAAATATTAAGTCATTTTAGCTGACTCTCGGACAAAACTAATATACTCCTATTGCGCCTTGTGAAGAGAGTATTATAAGGACTACATAAAAAGTAAAAGGACTAATTTGTAGACCTATTTACTTTATTTTAAAGCTATTAAAAATCAAATATGATTAAAGCAAGTTTGATCAACCTATATCTAAAAATGATAAGAATTTAAAAAAATTTGGAATTAGATGTTGCCATATAAAGTTTTAAAATGGTTTCTCTCACCTGGGCGGAAATGCATTTGTTTGAAAGAATGGATAATACCTTCACGATATAAATACTTTCACATTTTTTAGCTTTCAATTGATATACACCCTTTCATTTTCCATTACTGACACCTGAGAGCAAATCCTGGATGGAATCTCGACTAACTGGAATTTACTCAATGACAATTTAGGCAAATTAGAGTTGAGGCCCATTTGCCAATTCGCAGAAAGACGCTCCGCTAACAAATGCTCTTACATACAGAAAATATTCTAGTATGCCCGAAATTTACATCACAAACAAACAGATATAAATTTATAAATTATCAGAGAATATTTTTGTATACACCTGTAAGAATCCATAAAAAAAAAATTGTTCATATGAAGTTTCAACGAAATCCCATGCCACGTCTGTTTGGCGACTTGTTGTGTCTCCTAGTTATACTCGTACTGTGGCCCGCAGTGTTTATATACGATTTCATCGTGGTACTGCCGCCAATAATTGAGCGGGACAATATTTTACACATATCTGCGGTCGGTTTGTACATATTTTCATTTGTCAACATGATCGCAAATCTAATGGCATGCGCCTTGGTTGACACAACCGTTGACCGTGAGTATGAGTCGAGCTTGAACTAACTATGGGCCCTAATTTACATACTTGTACTTTTAGGCGAAGTTAAAGTACCCCTTGATGAGGCGGCCGAGTGGAAGTATTGCCAAGTCTGCGATTGTTCAACACCGCCCAGGTCGTGGCACTGTAAATTTTGTGCTGTTTGCATACGAAAACGCGATCATCACTGTGGATTCACGGGCTGTTGCATTGGCCATCAGAATCATCGGTTTTTCATATTCTTCCTATGGTATCTTTTCGTCCTGTCGCTGGTCGGCCTGGTCCTCAAAGCATGCTATATGTGGTCGAGCAACGCTTTTATGCAGTGCTGGAAGGCGTCATTCGAGCTGACACCCATCATCTTAATCTCTGGTTGCGGGGCGTGGACTCATCTTCAGTTCGTGATCTTTGTGCTTAACGCTTTCTCATTAATATGCGGATTCCTTGGCTTGGCGTGTCAAGTGCCCATGCTATTGCGCGGCGAGACGTGTGCCGAAAAGGGCAAGGAAACCAAATATAATTGCGGTGTCTCCTATAATCTGAAAAGTGTTTTCGGCGAACGGATGCATGTCGCTTGGATATTTCCATGGATCGATAGCCAACTGCCTGATGACGGTTACACAACCAACCAAGAATTTAACGCTAAGATTTAAGTGAAAATAGAGAAGACTGCACGAAATTATCCCTCCCAAAAAGATCATAAATATTAACTAAAGAATATATGTTAGCTAATTTTATCCGCCTTTGCCCGGGCGAATCTCTTTCTTTGCCCGTGGGGAAATAAAAATTTACGTGTTTTGCTCAAATCTCGCAAGTTTTTTGGCTCATCTTTCGACTATAAACTGGATTGTTGAAGCTTAGTTGAACTTAGTGTCAAGCCGATTTGCCGAAAATGAATCCTTCCCCCTTTCCCGAGAAATCAAATATCATATCTCCCAAAAGACGCTGCTCTTGTATGTTTATCTTTGAGGCATATCTCCAGGCACACTTTGCTCTACAGCTACAATTTAGGTGAACTGAAAATCAGCTTTCATTTACTCAAAACGTGTTATACACTTGTCAAAAAAAAAAACAATATAAATAATAGAAAATTTTTGGTTCTAATGATATGGTTCTCTGGTTAAAGATTGCCAAATGAAGTTTCGACGCAATCCACTCCCCAGTCGCCGAACCGACATTTTATGTTTCTTAACTGTGGCCGTATTGATACCCGCTGTGTTTCTATTCGATATCATAGTCCTGCTGCCGGAAATACATGAACCTGGCGGCTTTTTGCACACCTTCACTTTCCTAATGGCCATGTTTCTGTTGTTCAACATCAAGGGCAACATGTTGGCCTGCATGATGATTGACACCAGCGTTGACCGTGAGTAGAGCTAGAACTCAATTCAGAGATTTCCATTTTACTCATTTAGAATTACCTTCGTTTTCAGTTGAGCATGTCAAGGCGCCGCCAGCTAGCGAGGCAGTGCGTCTGGGTTGGCGACATTGCACTACGTGCGATCGCTTGGCACCTCCCAGATCGTGGCATTGTAAGATTTGTGGCGTTTGCATTCTAAGACGCGATCACCATTGTTTTTTTATGGGTTGTTGCATTGGCCAGCAGAATATGCGGCATTTTATGTGCTTTACATTCTACCTATTCATCGCAACGCTCTATACGATGGTCTATGAATTGTATTATGTATTTGCGAGATATATCGGGGAATTGGCGCTTTTAAATGCTATAAGTAGACAGATTTGGGATGAATTTGCATGGTCTTTTAATTGTTTTGAAATCGCACTCAAATTTACGGTGCTCCTCAAATTGCTGTCGGCAATTGGTGCTGGCATAGCCTTGGGCTATTTTGTGCCCCTTGTGCTACGTGGCGAGGTGACGGCCAACAAAGGAAAGCAGCACAATTACAATTGTGGTATCTACAACAACCTGAAAAGTGTATTTGGTCAGCGGATGTACTTCGTCTGGATATCTCCTTTGCTTCGCAGCGAATTGCCTGATGACAGTTACATTTTAAAAACCGACGACCCTGGGAAGATTAAATAACTTGATCTCATCTGATTACTCGATATGTAAAAACACTCCAAAGAGCACGGCTATATCTGTTCCATTAAAAATATATAATATGAAATCCATCCACTCAGGTGATATGTTGGCTGTGTACAGGGTATCTTGTCACTCTCGACTAGAGCACGCAATGGGTCGTCGACTTTCAAGTCAAATATCTGAAGATGGTTTTCTTTATTCATTTAATTTATCAATTCAACGGTTGACAGTCCTATTGTTCGATGGGAAGGCCATATATGAGGACAGTTACTTTGGCATTTCTCGGCTCGGCATCCGCAAACTGAGCGCAGCTCAAACGCAATGTGGTATAATTGAAACCAATGCCGCCTTGCACTATATCTGTTTTTGTAGTCGAATCCGATTGACTTTCATCAAAAACCAATATCAGATTTATTGTAAATTTGATACTGTCCTTTAAAAATTTCTTATCCACTTTATTTAGAAATTATAATGCCTTAAGCTATTTACCCCGTCCATCGCTTTGTCGGCATACTTCATGTAGCGATCAGCACAGTTCCAACCAATCTCGGCTTCATAAATGGGCACTGCAGCTGGATGCATATATCCAAATTGGCACGAGTATCCGAAAATTTTGGATATGAAGCCGAATACGTAGATGCCACAAACTGACAGCAGTAATAATGGAGACATGATCTGATTCTAGACAACATTGAATGCTCGGAAATGGTAGAATTCTCTTCTAGAAAAGATCTTATCAACAAATTGAATATTATCTAAGTTTCTGTGCTTTTAATGTAATTGATTTTATATTTCTGGTGCATAATAGCTGATAAGAAAAACTACTTATAATTAACTTACTCAAATAATTACAAGAAAAAACTGCTTTTTAAAAATTTCTACGCATTTGCTTTATTCACGTTATAAGATTCTTCTCCTTTTACATTTTAAGTCATAAACGGCTGCTATAGAATATCTTAATCCTTTACTTATATTTTCTATGACAGATATATCAAATATGAATGTATTATATATATAATTTCATGAATTACAAGTAAAATATTAAAATATGTCTGTATATTTCAGACATTTACAAATTGATACTTAAAAATAACGTTAATGTTATTTACACTCAACAAGAATAAAATTCAAAATATATTTATCGGCGGTTACGCTAACAGCGTACTGGCAGCGATATGTGAATATCGTATCGATTGCTATCGACTATCGCACGCAGGTGTTATCGGTTTCGATGATTGCCAGCTGATTTGCAGGTCTTATTCAATACACACGCTCGCGAGCTAAAATTCGATTTGCATGGTAAATTGTTAATGAAAATGCTTCGCAAACAATTTGTTAACTTGTCGCGCGTCTCAACGCACCTGCCTCGTAATGTGATAGCATCCCATACGGCGAGCCGCGGTGCAGAAATGTCAACAAATGTGGCACCGGCAGAAACGGCGACCGCACCTCCCCCCGTCATCAATGAGTTTCGGACTGCCGTAACCAATCCCGGTGAGCACTCGGAGCTGCATGTGGCCAAATTCTATACCATACCCATGGAAGAGAAGAAGCAAATCTTTACTGGAGGCGGTTTGCCAAAGCAGTACGAGCAACAGATAAAAACATTTACAGAAGCCTGCCTAATGGTGCGCTCTCCTGCCCTGGAGCTGCTGCATTATATCAAGAATGCGGATCTGACAAAACCAGCGGTACGCTACGTGCTGTATGGCGACAACGGCGTGGGCAAGACCCTGACCATGGCACATGTTTTGCATTATGGCGCACTAAACGACTTTCTGCTGGTGCATGTGCCTTGGGCACCCAACTGGATGAAACGGCCCAAGGAGGCGGCCAATTCAGCCAGCCAAGAGGGCTTCATTGATCTGCCATTCGATGCCGCCGCCTGGCTAATACATTTTAAAGCGCAAAATTCCAAACTTCTGCAACGCTTACAGCTAAAGACCAGCAAGGAATATGTGTGGAGCAAGCGTGAGAGCACGCCAGCTGGCGCTACACTGATAGAGCTAGTGGATCATGGCATTGCGCGAATCAAGTATGCCTCGGAAACGACAGCTGCGCTGATCTCGGAACTGAAACAGCTGGCCACTGCCGGACAGTGTAAGATCATGGTGGCCATTGATGGATACAATGCCTTCTTTCATCCTATTACGCGTATCTTTTCCGACAACAAGCAGCGTGTGTCTCCGGATCGCATTACTCTAACGCAACCTTTTCTAGACATCACCAGCTACGACTGGACGAATGGCGTGTGTGTTCTGTCCGTTGACAAAATAGCCATGACCGAGGGCTACTTGGCTTCCTATATGCCACGCTATCTGCTTGGCAAAGAGGGCTTCGAGCATCTGGATCCCTTTGTGCCTGTCCAAGTCGGCAACTACACGGACAAGGAATTTCTGAGCTATATCAATTACTACTTGGATCGCCACTGGATCTCAAAGACGCAGCCGGGCTTCGAAGAGCAGCTGAAATTTTTGAGCAATATGAATCCCTACACCCTAATGCGGCTCGTGAGAGGCCTGTAGTTCAACCAAACTGTCCTCAACAGCACTTGTTGTTAGTTTGTAAAAGTTAATTAAATAAAATACATGATTTCGTACAATCTGAACAACCTTTCTTCACACTTTCACCTGCTATGAAACTATTTGCAATATTTGTAAATCAGTACTTGTAAAACATTGTTCAGGTTTCTCATTTACCAAAGTAATCCAGTAAATAAAATAACTTTCCGGGTTCAAACCCTTTATAACTTTGGAGTAGAGACAACTGCTTTATTTAGCGCAGTTCAAAAGTAAACCAAAAATTTGTTGGTATAAAAACCTCTGCCTAAATTTGAATCATTCAATAAAAGTGTGCAGATATTTAGCCCGCCGCTAGAGCTACTTCTTAGAGGCCTAAAACTGTTTAAAATTTATAAATGTATTATGGGGTTAAATACTTTATAAATTGCCTCGGCCCTTCATCGTATTAATATCATATGCCCATTTAGATTATGTCTACATAGATGAAATTTCCTCCGGAACCTATCTATATACTTTTGTTGACAATTTTAACTTAGCCAAGCTAAATTATTTAATAAGCAAACAAAAGGAGTTGTTTTGGATTCAAGTTTATTCAACATATTCAATTCAAATTGTGAATTTATTTAACGATAATCAGCAATATATAATAATGCACTGTAAAATAAGTATAATGTGTAGGTGTGTGTATGAATTTAAATGAAAAGAAATAATGTTTGTCGCTTCATAAGCTCCCCGTACACACCATCACATGCATAACAGTACAATTATGAGCGTCTAGTTCTTGTGTTTTTTTTTTTGTTTTTTTTATAAGAAATGCATTAAACAAAAACATAAACTCCAATAACTAACATATTGAAGTGTGTAGATGCCGTATCTTAGGTGTACATTTTTTGGCGTGCGGTCAAAAATCGAGAGTACGTCTCGGTCTCGTTCTCCGTCTCGTCTCGTTCACAAATAATAACTAAAGCTGCAATTTAACATTGTCACCATATTTGTATGTATATTTGCATAATTCTATTACAATTTTAGTTGCTTTTAACAACAATAACAATTATGTGTGGGTTTGCGTTCTCTTCATTTTCATTAAATGTATTTTAATCTTTTATTTTTATTTGTTTTTCTTGTTGTTTTCTTGTATTCTTTGTATGATGTGATAATGCTAAGCTTGTAATGTCGTATTATTGTAGTCATAATCGCGCTTTCGTCGATATATGTTATAGATTCATGTTTGCATTATTAATTGTTGATTTTTTTTTTTTTTGCTTTTGTGTTTTTGGTTTATATTTTTTTATATGTATGTATGTATTGTATGCTTGATTATATGTAGGTATATGTATTTATGCATGCGTGTAAGTGATAAGTCATATATACTATATACTACACGCAAAGTAAAACATGTTTCTGTTATGTCCGACGCGGTTTCCAATTAAAATTTGACTTGTCTGCGCAACGTAACAAATAAAAAGCCTCCTCATCGTTAACGAACTTGTTAAAAATTGTTGCATTGAAGAAATGATTAAATAAATCGTTAATTCGTACGTATGCATTAAATATACATATATATATATATATATATATATGTGTGTGTGTTTATATAAATATGAAATGATAAACGTGCAAATGCGTCAATGATTATTAAAAGAAAAAAAAAGGAAACAAAACAAAAATAAAAATCAAGACACATTGGGGGTCCGTCTGGATAACAGTTACGATCCACAACGAAAAGTTGTTCACAAAACGCTCGCAGAGCAGAACACACAGTTAAAAAAAAACGAAATACGGAAAGCATAAAAAATGGCATCTAACGAGTTTCCCGTCATCAATCGAAAGCCCAATCAACGTTCATCAGTGTGTGCGTGTGTGTATAAATGTGGGTGTCGTTGTGTATGTGTGTGTGTGTGTTCATTTGGAGCATTCGTCTACTTAGGCTAATTTCTTAAACGTACATTACTCATTTCATTTCGTTTTGGTTAGGTTTTCCTCTTGTTTTCCACTCTCAAAATCTTGTTAGAGTCAATGTGTGAAAATTTAATGTATGTGCTTGTATGTGGTGTGTGTGTGTCTCTATAATTATTACATCTACCTTTGGAGCAGTGTGTGGCGTGATCAGGCTGAGGCCTCAACCGACCAAAGCCCAATCAAATGGCGGCGCATGCACATGCACATTGCTAGGCGGGGCATGCATTTGGATGAGATGATGACAAAATGGTGAACAAACAGCGAGCGGCAGGCGGCGGCGCATTGCTTCTATATTATTTCTTGACAAATTGATATGGGGCAGCGGGACGGTAATGCCTTATAGGCGGCACAGCACCACCAATTCCACCGCCAGCGGTAGCCACAATGGTATTTGCCATTATACCGCCGCCGGCATTGGCCAGGCCAGCGTTGCGTCCATTAAAACTGGCCGAACTGACCACCATGCAAGGTGAATCGCGTACAATTCCCTGCGGCGGCAAGGTTGTATGCATTGTATTGCCCCGCTGGGCAGCTGAAACAGATTGGATACAACATTCAACGAGCTGCACAGCGTATCAGATGGCACTCACCTGGCACATAGGGCTTTGGCTGGTGATAGGCATTGTTATGTGAACGGTAGTAGACAGTCTCGTCGTTGTGATGATAGTGCGATTGCTGCTGATACTTTTGTCTGCAATTGAGAAGCGTGTGGATTGGTGGATTGGCGTATAAGGGATGAGGTTTTAATTGCAATTCACCTGTAGTTGCCACCAGAGCGATTGTTGCCGTTGCCGCTGCCACCGGCAGCAGTTGATTGTTGTTGTTGCTGCTGCTGCTGTTGTTGTTGTTGCTGCTGCTGCTGCTGTTGCAACTGGCGCAGGGTCAACTTTTTGGCAGCTTCCGGATCCTCCATGAGCTCCCGGTACTGCTCCTGACGAATGTCATCGTGCTTATCGGGTATAAGATACCGCCTGATCTCGGCCAGTGCATAGGCAACACGAGCGTACGCCTCGGCAGGTGGCGCTATGGTGGACACTTCGACGTGGAGCGGCAGATTCAGGTGGGCATATTTGGCGTCCGCAGAATTACGTAGCTCCTCCTCACGTGTGCGATCCTTCATGGAGAATCGCCCCAGAATAACTATTTTACACTGCGTCTCCTCTTGCAGCCGGCGCAGCGAGTTGCCCTTGGGGCCAAGCAGCTTGCCAACATAGTTGAACTTCTTATCCTTAATCGGCACGTGCACCTTCTGCGACAATTTAATCGTCCGCTGCTGGTACACATCGGCGTACTGGTCTCTCGTCGGGATGCGCCCGTTCAGCTGCACCCTCTCCAAAGCTGTAAGATCGGAACAATTACATATATACACACAGGCAAATGTATGTATGTATGCATGCATCAGTATTTACCAGTCAGTGTGTACATAGGGTAAACTGATTAAGTTATTTCGTACCTTCGTCAATTAGTTTTAATGCCAATGGAAATTGGCTCTCCATGCGCGATCGCTCGCTCATCAGTTCCTGCATATATTTCTGAGCCGATTCGTTTAGACGCGCCGGCTGCACCTTCTCGTTGTCCGCAGCATTGTGTTCATTCTCGTGCTCCCCGTTGCTGGCGCCAGCATTCGCATTGGCAGCCGCCGCCGATGACCCTGGGCCGACACGCATTCCGTTTTCCGCCATTTGTCCTGCTTTCCCTAACGGCGCCCGTAGTCAATTGATGTGGCGAATATTACCAAAAGGAATCGGCACAGTGCGTGGCACGTTTTATCTTAATGGCCCCGTCGCCGAGCAGTCGATTTAATTCGAATTTATCAAATATGTTTGCAACCTCTTTGTGGCCCTAATTTTTTCTCTCTTTTTCCATCAAAGTGTGTACATATTTGGCGAATATAGAAAAAACGCGCTTTCCATCGCAAGCTGTCCAGCCCTGCCAAGCCCAAGTGCCAATTTGACCACCACTAGACTTGAATTTTTCGGACCGATAGTATCGATAAGGTATGACCGAATGTCGATAGCTCGCGACCCTTATTACTTTCAATAGTACCATCGCTTCTGAACAATAAAATCGCAAAGGTCTTTTCGTTTGCAAGAAATACCGATTTCTTCCTGTTATAAAGGTTAAAATATATATAAACGTGTTTAATACTCGTTTAAAGTTGCAAAAGTAATAATACGTTAAAAATAAGACAAAATTAAGTCTTTGTCGAGACAATTAAAAAACTTGAATAGTTAAGCTGAAGAAAATGCCTAGAAAATAATACTGTTTTCAATTGCCATTAGAAATAAAAAATACCAAATCATGTAGGACAACAATTAAAACGGCAACACTGATTACCCCATACATAAAAGAAAATTTTTTCAGGCACATCAATTTTACAATTGAACTTTGAATTTCGCTTTGGCTTAATTAGTTTTACAAAGCGATAATTGGCGAGCAAGTTATAGATAATTAAAGTGCTATAAACCAATTAAAATGCCGCGCGACTACGACAGAGACTACAATGAGGACACCGCGGCCGACTACAAGCGCAAGCGACGTGATGATGAGGCAGCCGGCGCCGGCGGCGCAGCAGACGCTCCCGAAGTAGATGGCAACCATGGGCACACAACTAGCCACGCCCCGTTGCATGACACGCCACAGCTGAATGAAAAGACAAACGCGTACCTGCAAGAGTGCTTAATGGAGAAAAAAACACTTGAAAAGAAAAATGTTATAACAAAGCGTCTGCTGGACGATGGTGCGCACGATACACGTAAGTCATTCTGAGCACAATGAGTAACCGATTTGCTTACTTGCAGAGGTGGAGAAAATCTTGGTCAGTGGTCGCATTCCGAAGCCAGAGATATACGCGAATGTTTACAGCGAGAAGCCAATTAGGGTGGCCCAAAAGGTGCTGTTTCCAATCAAAGAGTATCCGAAATTCAATTTCGTGGGCAAAATCCTGGGGCCCAAGGGCAACACGCTGCGCCAGCTGCAGGAGGAGACGATGTGCAAAATGGTCGTTATGGGCCGCAATTCGATGCGGGATCACGGCAAGGAGGAGGAGCTACGCAGCTCTGGCAATCCAAAATATGCACATCTCAGCAGGGATCTGCACGTAGAGATATCAACAGTAGCGCCGCCAGCTGAGGCATATCATCGACTGGGCTATGCCCTATGTGAAATACGCAAATTCATGATACCTGACGCTAACGATGACATTCGTCTAGAGCAATTACGCGAAATGGACGGCAAGGAGCGCATGTATAAGAAATCTCATCACTACTCCAAGTCGTATGGTGAACATGGCGCCTATAGCACTCGGTAAATATAAACACCTGCACGCTGCACAGTGTGGCAAAAATACATTTCTAGCAGAATTCAAAATGTAGTATTTAATAACTAGGCAACCGCTCAGCATATATAGGTAAAGTTTGATACGTCCATAGAGAACTAGTTTGAGCCAATTTTGAGACAATCCCAATTCGTTAGATTGAATATTTCTCTGTTTACAAGCATTCCAGTAAAATACTTAAAAATATTTTTGTTGTCAGCTTTAAAGTTTAGCTCACGCTTCTTGAGACCGCCAGAATTGTTAGTTTTTTGCTCTTCTATACTTGTTTTCTTGAAATGTGCACTAAATAATTGTATTTTATTAAAGCACACCACCGCCAGCCACATCTAAGCCCAAGGTGTATTCCATTCTCGAAAAGGCGCGCTATGTAATGGACGATCCCAATTATGGGATTGTTAAAGCTCATAGGTAGGTTAAATAATCACAACCAATTATTATATTGATTTAACTGGTTTTTACTTAGGTCACGGGATCACGAGCTATACGATCACCACGGGGAATACGATCGATATGCGACCCCGCCGCCGCCGCAGACGTCGAAGCATTCAAGCCATCACGCCCAATACGACAGTAGCTCATATGAGCGTGACTATCGTCGGGAATATCATCCGCACTCGTCTTCAACATCGTATGCGGCGGCCTACACAGGTAAGGGTGCTCGTAAATAGATAATTAATGTCTTTCCCGCAGCTGGACTGTTTACAAACGAATAAAAAATAAACCGCGCGCAACTGTTGACAAAAAAAATCGAAACAATTCAACTGCGTTGTAAAGCACCTGAGTCGAACATAAAAAAGAGAACAAGAGAAACATCAAAATACCAAAAAAAAAAAAAAATATATCAATGTAAAAACGCGAATCAAAATCATGATAAAACGGAAGTCTCAGCCCATATATATATTATATGTAAATTTAACAAGATTTTAAATGCACTACGCCTAACAGACAGGCGATCAAACGACCGAAAATCACAAGCTCAAGACAAACTACTAACAACATTCGTTCAAAAGCATTCCAAACACACATTTAAAGCAAATATCTATTCAATTCTCATACATCAAATAAATGCCAATATATATTTACCTACTTCAAAACAATCTGTGATAAAATATTAATTAGTAAAAGTAATTTTGTATGAAGAACAAAAACCAAAACCTGGGGCTAGTGCATTCAAAAACGGTTAAACTATTTCTTCTTTTTTTTTTGTTATGTATCTTAAGACCAATTAAAACAAAACAAAAAAAAAACATTTAAATAATGCAGAAAAAAAAAACAAAAAACAAAGCACAGAGACAAAAACAATTGAAATCTAAACAACAAATAAAATTCTTTCCAAAATAGCAAAACCAAGCAACGGTCGTTCTTCATCGTCATATAGACCAACGACATCGGGCTCGGGATCACATTCATCGGCACACTATGAAACTGGATCACGTTCTCGTGAAAGCGTGCGTTATCGCTCGGCTCCATATCCAAAAATGCGCTAATTTATTTTCCAATAAACCCAATCAACAAAGTTAAGTAGTTTGTATCCATCAACAAGCAAAAACAACAACAACCAACAACAACAACAAAAAATATCAAAATATATTAAAGTCCAATAATGCAACCAATAATACATCAAATCTATTCATACACTTACTTATAAATAAAAACCAAACAAAATTTAAATGCAAAACCTATTTTATAGTAATTGTTGTTCAAAATATTTAATTTGTGTTAATCCAAACAAAAAACAAAGAAAAAAAATGCAAACCCACAAATATTAATAATAATGCAACAAACATAGCAAAAAAAAAAAAAACAAAAGAAAAAAAACATCTATATCAAACTTGAAAATATTTTGTAAAAATCGTAAAAAAAAAAAATACAATTCACAAAATCAGATATAATATAAGAAAAGAAACAAGAGAACAAAACAAAAACATTATACACACACCTATATGCAATCGTAACAACCAACCCCTAATTATTCTTAACAAAATGTTAGCGTAAGTTTTGGAATTATTTTTCAAATAAGTTTATGAAGATAAACAATAAAAACAAGTTAATGCAAAAATATAAAATAAAATAACAGAGACGCCCAACGACAAAGTAAGTATGAAACGGCTTCAATAAATGAAAACAAACATAAAAGAAAAAGCACATAATAATTAATTTTCCGGCTTCGTTACTATTCAGAGCTTTCCACGTTATATATGTGAATGAGAATGAAACATAATTGTCTAATATACTTGATTATTATTTATATAATTATTAACGAAGATGTGCGCATTCAAAATAGAATGAATCAAATATAATACTTAAAATCTACTTCTCTCTGTTCGACGAACACAATCCCAAATAAATATAAATTATAATAGAACCACCTCAAAAGCCTTTTCTTAATACTGAGGAGCTACATAACAACGAGAGGATTGCTATCAATATTACAGCTGAACAAAGAAACCAAACATATGTATATATAAAACACTATCAGAAATAATTGTAATATCACAATAGATTCCGTTTATTATCTTGAGTCGTTAAAAATTCAATGCGCCATCCAAAAACATAAGACTGTCCACAGCGGATATGGCCAGATCCACGTCTCTCTTCTGTACGGTCTTCTTCTTGGCCTGCGCCGTATAGGTAAAAGCCTCGCGTGCTAACGATTCTATGAATAACTCCACGGCCTTTGTTACGGCAAAAACAGCCTCATTTGAGGCGATTTGAAGATCTGGATCCAGTTTCATTATATTACGAATGCGACCCATCGGCAACTGTGTGAGTTTAGCGTCATGTTCATGCTCAGTCGCCTTGTGAGCATTGCCTAGAAAAATATTAACAATTACAAAACAGTTTTCAATATCATTCGGTCAATTGAATTTAAGCGTAAGCTGCTAACTTGTTTTTGCCTGTTCAGTGGTCGTGGAAGCCGGAGGATCAACATTCGCGGAGCTCGGTATGTTAGTTTGTTCAATCGCCTGCTCAACCTCTTCGTCGCCGTGTTCAGCCGCCTCTATATTCATTTCTTCGCCTTTATCAAAGTCCTGTCCCAGATCGGGTTCCTCGGAGTAATCATTTTGAAACAAATCCTCACTTGCCATTGCAACGTTTGCTTTTCCGCTGTTTTCTTGAAAATAATGCGTTTTGTCTTGTCCAATAGAGTCTGCCGCCGCCAAAAAAGTATCGACATACCGCCACAAGCATCGATAACATAGTCTCGTTCAACAAGCCATCACCGACAACTTCACAAGTTTAATCGAAGAAGAAGAATAGCGTTGCAAACTATTATACACAATTTTCACGTGAATTAAATTGAAAAATCTTAATATGGATAATTCGAATAGTGAATTTAGTGAAAAACCAGCCCCTCATGAGCATCAGCCGCGTTTGAACGAAGTGGCTCAGAAATTCTTGGCCGATTTAGATGAGGAACGCCAGCGTCTGTCCGCCGAGTTCCCATTGTGCGCCTTGCTAATTGACGAAGGTATAAAAAAGTTAAGCATATAGAGCTCGCATTTTTTATCTACATATGTTTTTAATTGCAGCCGTGGATCGTGTGTACTGCACAGGTCGCATACCTGGCCGCGAGTTTTACGCAGACGTTTACAAACAGAAGCCAATGAAAATAACACAGAAGGTGTTCGTGCCTGTTAAGCAATATCCAAAGGTAATGCCAACAGAATATTTAAGTGCGGCTTATATGAATCGGTGATACTTGCAGTTCAATTTCACTGGAAAAATTCTGGGTCCCAAAGGCAATTCACTGCGTCGCCTGCAAGACGAAACACAATGCAAGATTGCCATTAAGGGGCGCAGCTCCATACGTGACCGCAGCAAGGAGGAGCAGCTGCGAAATTCTGGAGATCCGCGCTATGCTCATCTACAAAAGGACCTCTTCCTAGAAGTAAGCACTGTGGCAACGCCAGCAGAGTGCTATGCACGCATCGCTTACGCCCTGGCCGAGATCCGTAAGTATCTAATTCCAGACAAAAACGACGAAGTCTCACATGAACAGTTGCGCGAGCTCATGGAAATGGATCCAGAGTCTGCCAAAAACATTCACGGGCCTAATCTGGAGGCATACAGGTACGCACCGGAATTGCACAAATCTTATTTATACACATTGAAAAATTCACAATTCTTAATTGCAGATCCGTTTTTGACAAGAAGTTCGGTGGCAGCAGCGGCGCACCGAAATACTTGAATCTTATCAAGAGAACAGCGGAAAATCCGCCCGAGTAAGTTACTTGTAAAGTATAAATTTAAATTAAATTTTCTGTAAGCATCAAATAAGCAACGGATAAGAATGAAACGAGGCAGCGTATAACAAATTTGAGCTTTAAACTTGCTGCTAACACATTCACTTCGTTTAATACAATGCTATCCATTTTTAGAGCCGAGGAATCTGAAGAGGTGGCCTACGAGTATGATCATCGCATGCCCAAGCGTAGCGCACCATCGGGCTATGAATACACCAAACGTAAGTTGAGCCAACGATTTGTAGCTAGACAACCTCTGTAAACAACTTAATTATGGGGGTATTCTTTTTGGGTATTTGGGGTTGAACAAAATAAATAATATCGATTGCATTGATTGTGCAATTACAAACTATTAAAAAAAAAAGAAGCATTTGAGCGATGACTAATTTTTAAAATAACAAATTTTCTATTTATAACTTTATATACCTACTGAATTTTACATGCATATAACATATTAAAAATGAATAATTTTATAGCACGCCCATCAATAATACCAACAAACGCAGCTGCATATAAACGGCCTCAGCCATACCAAACTGACATGAAACGTATGCGCGAACCACCCATCAAGTCTTATAAACCGAATACGTACACCATTCTGAAAAAGTATAAATAATACGCAAATTCTCTAAGAAAATATAAGTTGAAAATACATATACATATAAAAGGACAAGCGAAGACGATGTAATAGTTAAAAAAAACTATAAGAATAATATTAATTTCAAAAATCAAGAAAACATTTCAATTTATTTTGGCCTTTGGATGGACACATTTTGGAAAGCTACCAATTCCCAATGCTAAATAAATATGAAATATATAATACATTAATGAAAAGATTAAAAGATAAAAAGTTTTTAATTTCTATTATAATGTTCACGCCTTATCACACCCCCTGTAAGTATTCATATAATTCGGCACGTTAAAGGTTGTGAGCATTCCGAAGGCCAACCAAATTATTCTTACTTTCAAAATATATTTAACTAAGTATGGAGTCAAATAAATAAAAGAAATCAATTTAAATAAATTAAAAGCAGCTGATAAAAGTTTGATTATAATAGATACATAAATAACCGCCTTTCCAATGAGTTTGTCACTAGCAATAGAATTTATAAATAAAATAAAACTTTTATAACAGCCAAGAGTGCTTATTAAATCGGCATCAAAAAGTATAGTCCCACTTTGTTTATAAACAATTAAATTTGGATCAATGCATATATTTAAAGATCAATGAAAAGTTCAAGTTAATAACAAAATATGCGCATATTTCAATAAGATAATAAAAACTATCATATAAAATTATAAATTTTTTAAATTCCAATAAATAATTAATATGCTCAGCACAATAACAATTATTCGACATTTAATGTACAATTTGAACAAACCAAATTACTTTTACAGCTGGCCGAGATCATTTCTTGAGCCGAGCGAGTCTCTATGGATGATCAGACCTCAGGTACCATTAAGTATTTTGCACATAAATATCATTGAGCAACAATTCAATGTCTGAGGTATGTACACATAATATATTTGAATAATTTTTAATTATAATACAATGGTTTTAATAAATTCAATAATTAAAAAAAATATAAACAAATTGATGCATACTTTTTTCTTAACATATTAATCAACTTGAAGGTTTCAATATACTCAACGTCCATTGATTTGAAAGCCACAAAGCTTTAAAACCTATAAATATTGTTTAAATTGATCAGCTTTTCATAACAAAACGATAAGCACTTTAAAACGCATTAACTATCACATTATTTTCCCATTGGGACTCGTTCAAAATTTTGGTGATTGCCGGCGTTTGTTGCCAAGGATTATCAAGTCGTTCTCTGGATTCAGAATGAATGAATAATTGAGAATAAAATGAATAACTATTCACATCGATATATGATGTCATTTTTTAGGTTTTAGAAAATTGATATAACTAGGTTTCTAAAAATTGTTAGCTTTATTTAATATACTTAATGTGTATATTTATATTCTTGTAGGAGGAGACATCTGCGATCATTAATCCATACATACGGTACAAGTGTCGGAAACTGTCGTATCGGAGCAGTATATTGTATAGCCATAAGAATAATCTTTCGAAAATCAAAGATCTGGTATGAACAACTCTTTTGTTTTTATCTTAACCAAGCTTGGTTGGGCCATGCTTATATAGGAGAAAAATCTTATTAATATCGCACAGCTATATCCTGGAGATTTGATTTGGTACTTTTGTTTTTCTAAATATTTCACAATATTCCGCATATCTGCAGACCCGAAAGCCTTACAAGGGTATTTCATATTCGTTCATAGCTGTTCTTTCTTATTTTGATCAATACGAATTGTCCTATCCATAGCTGACATACCTTAGTCAGAAATCAGCTTACCAAATATTTATAAATATTTAATGATTAATGTTCATTATTATTAGATTTTTAACTATATTAACACTTATATTCTTCATATTCGAAATTAATTCTTAACGTATCGGGCTACGCGCGATAGTATAAATTGCCTCCTGTAAAGGTTGCAATCCAAATTTGTTTCAATACCTCCTCGTACGGATTTTGTGCATAGTTGTAGGTTTCTTGGCAGACTGATTGCCTCTGCATGTGCTCCAATATTCTGTGATAGACATCTGCAGCTGTCTGGAGCCGATTGCAGCGGCTTTCCTCGCACAAGTTACGCTCGCTTGTGGTAGCCTCAAAACTCTCCTGCGCCGTGGCAATGCTTTCTGTGTTTGGAATCATCTGAAGTGAGTACAGCTTAAATTAGTCTAATCTTTCATTGACAGCTATAAGTTTTAACTTACTTTCTGGTATGCAGCAGCAGGGATTTGATTCGTTGACTAGATGTGTCCTGGCCGCGTTGCAGTTGTCGACTGCCGCACGCAGGAAGCTAAACATGTTTCTGAGCCGCGCTTGGCTTGTGTCGCATGTCGGTTCCACCACCCTGGCATTGGTGTGCCACTGAGTGGCCCATTGTGTTGTTCTGCCTGCCCTGCCATATGGCCTGCATGTCCTGCGCACATTGCGGAATTCCTACCCACAAGCTGCAGCTGGTCGGCAAACGCCCGAGCTGCCTGTGCGAGACAGAGTCCGCGCGCATTCTTTGTCCCTATCGCGCGGCCCTCTACGCCGTGCCGTGGCGGGTGTTTACTTCTTCAGCCGCCCCTATCCGCTCCACTATTCAATGCGAGCTGTCGAGCGCAGCCAAGCAAACGCACACTATGGCATTCTGTAGGTCTCCATAAGGGTGGGTTTTACAGCATAAAAGGCTGAAATTGAAGTTTTAAACGATATCTGCATTGATTGCGCCGCACAATACATTCAGCTTGTTGCAGGCTGCATTTTCAGCCATTGTCTTAATGATTAGATCATTAAAATAAAATAAACAATTAGCCTTTGTGTTTGGTAGCTCCAATTTATTTCACTTTGAGAGTTTCAAAATATTTATTTTCGATTTTGTATCAACTTAAGACACTTGTCCTCGTACATTTCATGTATTTGTTTAATTACTTTGTTCTAACAATCGGCTCAACAAAATATAAGTAATATAATTTGCATATATAAAATTATATTTTCCATATGAACATTAGCTTTGATATATATTTTTTTTCTGCCGGAATCGTATATTTAATCTAGTTACTTAATTGCAACATCTTAAAATACGTGCAAAACAAGATGTTAACCCTTTTGTTTCTTGTACAAAGAAAGTTATTTTTCTTGAATTTGATGGGCATTACGTATTTAAGAACTTGTGCACATTAAATATTTTTGGAATTTAGAAACTTGCTCGGATAGGTTCAGAATATATAGCTGCGATAAGTACAAGGGAATAACAATTTGTTTAATTGTATTTCTAAATAATTTCCGAGGGGCATATAGTTTTAATATTATTTTATCTTGGTTTGAGTTATTGATCCTATAATATTTGATAAGCATTTCTCACACACATTAGAGTTAAGCAGGTCCAGCGCTGAGATGCTTGTACCTTATAAACATGGATTCGTCCATCCAATCGGCTAATCAGCTAATCGGAAAAGTAGCTTTAACATTTTACCACTAAACATATAGGTATGTATGTATCTGTATATACATGCGTTGCAACTAAATATATTCTTTCTTATATCTATATTCTATAATAATAAAGCAACACCTAACATAATTGTTTAAGCAATGCTCCAATTGCATGGAAATGGAACCAAGGAGTCCTTAATTCGAAAATCAGCTCATTTAGCTACTTGGATTCAAGCTCGTCTTTGAGTGTGCGCAGTTCTGTAAGTCCTTCCTGCCATAAAAAGTTCAAGTGCCGGTGGTGCATTGTTTAAATGTTGTTTCACATTTCGGATATTCAGAAACGGGTTGATGCAGATCGATAGATGAGCGAAACAGCGCTCAGGATTATGCAGTTCACAGCTGTTGGCCAGCTGAGATTTGGGGCTGAGCTCGGAGGCGGGCTGGTTGGCGGTAGGCCAAGCTTGATGGTAATCTGGCGGGTCACATTAGCCGGCATCACGTTACATTCGAACTTGTGGCCAGTTGCGTTGGCCAGCGGCACATTCAGGACGAACTGGTTGTCCAGACTGTAGATGTTGATGATCGACAGGTTGCCATTCATGACGAGCTGCTTGTCCCGGTACCAGAGTATCGCATGGTGTATGGCTGAAAGCATATGGAGCACGATATTTGGCAATTAATGCCCAGCTGGGACACACCCCAAGTGTCTTAAATTTACCATCATAGTTCTTAACCGGGCAATCGAGCTTCACATTTGTTGCATTGGGCTGGACATAGACGACTGCCGTCTTCTGATCGAAGTATGGCACCATTGGAACTGCAGTCGATTTGGCCAAATTGCCAGGGGAGCGCGAGGCGTCATCATCATCGTAGACATTCTCATAATCGGGGCTTGTCTCGCCGGCGGCGTGTGCTGAGGAGTACACACATACATTATAGAATAGGATGGATAGGTTAATATATATGTATATATATTGACTGAGCTGGGCGAGGCAAGGTCAACAACAGTAGCCAGCACACCTGGATAACGTAATTAAGGCCCAATTATGCACTGAATACCCACTCTATGCTGACTGACCACACTCTACAGATTTTCGTGCCGTGCGATAATCGAGCTTATCCGAAAATCGGCTAGGCCGAAGCTTAGATTCTCTAGCCGAAACCCTGACCCACGCCCAACTGGCGACGACAGCATAAAACCATTAGGAAAAGGGCGCAGCCCAGGTGGCACGGTGTCAACGCCCATTTGGATGACTAGCACGGCACATGCTCATATTCCACGAGTCTTCACATGCCATGCCAGCTCCTCGAGGTCATTATAAGTTTATGGCATATCAGCTTCAGCACACGGGAATTGTCAGTGAAGCGTTTTCGGGATTTGGACACGGACACGGACACCATATACTTGTATATTGATTTATGTCAAGGCTTCCCACACAACTATTCACAATATAATGGTGGGGATATGTATTCGAATTGCTTGCGTCATTTGCACGTCCTGAAATTGGCAACCTACCCACACACACACACACACACACACACACTCAGCGTGCGGTAAGTTATTTATCCTGTTTATTAACACACATCGAATATCGAGCGTTTATGTATCTAGGACTTGTGATAGTCAAACTCAAATAGGTCACAGTTCCAGCAGCTAACCATGTCTGTGGCTCGATTTATTTATAAGATCTATTTATTGAACACTAGCCCACGTCAAACAGAGTATGACAAAGAATTCAAGAGGGTTAAAAGCTCAACAATTGTTTTCTTATCATTTTCAATAGAACAATTAAATATGCTTTAAATTAGAGTAATTTTATTTAAATGGATTGATCCCGAATTGAACTAAATAATCTCTTAAATCAACCCCATTTTTTTTTAAATATTGCTTGGTACTATTATTTCTTATAGATAAGAACCAATCTGGCTTAATGTTTGGTTAGTAATAATTAAGAAAGTGGGTTTCCGGGCTCTAACTACTTGGGCTTAAAGGCCAGTATCGAGCTCTGGGATTAAATAGTAGTATAGTAGAAGCAAGATATGCGCATCCGGAACTGATAGTCAAAGGTAACAATAAGTCGACTCTTTCCACTCTGCGAGATACTCATTTAATATATTTATAAACATAAACACGAAAAGCTATACGTTCTTGCTGGATAACCCTGGGGTGAGCCATTCAAACGATGTACAGTCATTTTGTCGTGTTCATTCAACAGCCCCGTCTCCCAGTAGCTTAATTATTCAAAGTCACTTTAATCATGCTGATATTTTTAACAATGTGCTCATTGCCCCATTCCATGAATGAGTCTGCGGTGGCACTAATTTGTCCATTGGTGCCCAACCACATAAATACCCTGCTCAGCGCTGTCAGCCACAAGTGGCTCCCTAATTCCATTTAACTGTCATTGTTATGGTAGCCAAGACGCCTTTCCCATCAACGATGGGCACGAGCTCGTCTCGGTCTGTAAGGAAATTCTCTATTCCCAAGTACGTGTATACGTAAATACGTGACCATGATGGTAGATAAGCGTTATATGGCTCTATTCCCATAAACAGTTGCGAATATGTAACTATTTGTGAATACAAAAACATTTGTTTATGTTTATTCATTAATATTGTGACACTTCGACATTTGCAAGCCGAGAGACTCATTCAAAGATTTTCACTCTGCTACACTGAGAGAAAAACGGGGAGTGAACTTGCGTATTTCATTCATCATTAATACAAAATTGTTAAGAATATAATTCGTACTTAATTTGAAATGAACTAAAGGAGGAATTAATTATAAGTTTTAATTCCTAGTAAAAAGAGGATTCATTTAATTATGGCTGTTCCTAAATTGAAGTTATTTTGTTCTTAGTTCAAGATTCATTAAAATTTGATTTAATATTTATCTGTTTCAATAATTATCTTAATGACGCCTAGGAACATTGCACTCAAAATCTAATTCAAGCATTTTTGTACTTAAATAAGTTATACTTAAAACAAGAGTTTTATACTTGAATCAAGTAAAACTGGTTTTTGCGATCTTTAGACGGGGAAAATTCTTGATTTGTTACAAAATGGAAGATAATGCGAGATATGAAAGATTTGTGGACGGATCATTTATAGCATATATCTGGATAATATGACCAATAAATATGTAGAATATGTTAAGTATGCTACAACATTCTTAATTTCTATCAGTTGTATTTAGTTTACAGATGTCCCCTAATCTCATTTGACATTATTCTGAAAACACACTCATCGTTCAAGTTGGAAACATTTTCATGAGTAATTTTGTTCCAGAATAGTTTAAATTTGGCCTTAGCTAATATACTATAGCATATTTTTGGGTGTATATAATTATTTCAGTTATATGTAGTCGAGGAATTTTTGCAAATGTCTCTCAGCATTTTCCAAGTTGCAAGCGAATCAGCTAATGGCTTAATTTTAGTGGGCAGAGAATATTTTAGTTTTTGTTGCAGATGCATGGTTAGCGGGTCGTTAGGAGAGTGCAATGCTCTTGGTGGGAGAGGGGTTTGGGTTAATCCATCGATTTCTTGAGCGCAGCACAAAGTCAGCGCATTTTGTGCTTTGCATCCAGTTGGCTTGTGGCATAAAACGCAGGCACTTTGTTGAAGGGCTCTCCCTTTATCGCTGTGCTGTAATCTTGGGATTATACAATCCGAAGGATTGTGTACACAGCCAGATATTATATATTCCTCAAGAGTAGGCGCCATATGGAATCGCTGCCGCGGGCAACACAAAAGCTACTTTGAGATATGTGCGTGTGCAATATGTGTTGGGTATAGCTACTTGTGCCATAGTTTTCGCATGGAAATAATAGGGGCTAAGGCTATTTAAAAATGGAAAATATGGCCGAGATTTGTGCTCAACACATGTGCCAATTGGCAGATCTGTCAACATGACGTATGATTGATAAACTTAAAATGTTTCAGTTCAATATTTGTTTGGCAGAGCATCCAATATAAATGGGATTTGCCCAAAGATGTTTTCAATGTGAATAGTTTTGTGTGCATAAAACAGATGCCAGAGATTAAGTTAAGCTGCAAATATATGTAAATATATATGAATATATTCACATGAATGCCGCAGCTATAAATAATTGTTTGTGCGTGAGTGAATGGACCTGCAATATGCTTGAATAATTCAAAAATAAATGCCAAACCGATGGCCAGGAATCCATAAACATTAAACAGATTCAAGTTGAAAATTTCTTGATTCGTTCGCAACTGCAACCAAGATGAATCAGAGCAATGGATTTGTACCTGGCATTTGCAGAGATCCGACGATAGCCGCCAGCAGCAAAAGATGCGTCATTCTGGACATTTTGCAAAGATATCGCGTGTTGTTAAGATAATTGCAGCTACTTTTAACTAGGAATCCTTTTCACTTTTTCTGTGCGAAATGTACTCTATATATTTATTTTTTTGGTTTTATTTCAATATGTGGAAAAACGAGAAGCGCGAAACCCGTTCACTCGGAGCGACACTGAGACACTGAGAACTTTGCGTGGGTTGTTTTGGTTGTTTGGTCGGTTTGCCGTCGCGCGGAGAGCACACCACGAACCGTGTAGGACGACTGCTGGCGAATGCCAGCAGAGCTCGCGATGCAGCATAAAAAATATACATACATATATATATAAAAAAGGAAATAAACGAAAACTATGCGAACGATGATGACGATGACTCACAATGCGCTCCCAGACTTGCTGCCCAATTGCGAATTGGCGCGAGCTTCACAACGAGGATATTGGACATGTCTTTGAATCGCAGCTCTCTCTCCCTCTCTCGCTCTCTCTCTCTCTCTGTCTGTCTCTTTCTCTTTGGAGCTACACTGAATGCTTCGTCGACTTCCATTTGCCATTTCCCCATTTGGTATTCATCGCATGCCCATGCGCAAAAGCGACCACTAAATGAAGTTACGGCTCCAGCAAACTTCACAAAATAGCAACCAGTCCGTGGCCTAAATGTCGTAAAACTGTTGACTTATGGAGGGTGTATATAAGTGTAAATGCATATATGTGTGCACTCATAAAAACTGCCTAGGTCAGTGCGACACACAAGTTATGGTCTACACTGTAAAGAAAAGGGATACAAACAAATCATCCAAGCAGTATGTAATCTTTAATGAAGAAGATCGCACTTCAGGCAAGCTCCTTAATAATCTTCATTCCCCATTTTGGTAACTCTAGCTCCAAAACAGTGGAAGTTATAGATTTGCCGAATTGCCACTAATATATATATGTGTGTATGTGTGTGTGTGTGTGTGTGTGTTAGGGTATGCATGCATGTATGTGCATGTTTGTTTTCTAATACCAAAGGCAGACCAAGCTTATTTGTTGTTGTGCTGCAAATTTAAATAAAACGAATTTTTGCCAAGTGCTCTCCTCCTCGATTCTCAAGAACTCAAGTAGGCCTTGTATGTAGATGTATGTACGTAGATGCATGGCTGTTGATGTGTATTTAGATGTATGTATATTATATGTATGTATGTATGTATGTATGTATGTATGTATGTATGTATGTATGTATATATGTATGTATGTATGTATGCATTTATGTATGTATGTATGTATGCATTTATGTATGTATGTATGTATGTATGATTGCATGTGTGCATGCATGTAGGTATCCGGACATACATATATTCATACATGTACGCATGCATGCATGTTTGCATATCTACAAAACAAACATGCATACATGTATGTACAAACAAGCATACTTATACTTACTATATATGCAAACTTAAAACTTCGCCCAAAAACCTTTGATTCGTATTTCTACCGCGGAAGCTTGGATTCTGCGAAAAGTATGAAACACAACTAAAAATTTTTTTTCTCCATTTTTCCACACATGCGGGTGGAATTTCCCGAAACCCCATATAGAGATCTAAATAAAGATTTGCTTAACATTAAAACGCATCTGCCCAGAATCTCTTTTAACTAGTGCAACGCTAGATATATAGAGTGATATAATAAAAATATACGATATGCATATCCATGTCTACATTTCATGTAGCCACCATAAAAAGATTGCAAAGCATTTTTTCAGTGTATGTTTACATATGTATTATGAGTGTTTACTTCTTTTTGCTTTGTGGTAGATTGAAATTCTTTCGCACATTTGCTGACACTTCCAATTCCAAACAATTATTTCAGTTGCCTTTGCTGGGGACTGTGGGTCCTGTTTCATCCATTACGGGCTGCTCTTTTGCACAAACACCAGCAAAACAACCCCCGGCACACACCCACGTCCACACACACACACACACGCACACGAGATACTTGTTTGGTTTTACATATACGTATGCGCCGCGTTGCCAACCATGCTGAGCACAGCCGGCATGCCAATGCTTTGCTCTAAGTTCTAACGCTCTCTTAAATGCGCACGGGCTCTCTTAGCTGCTGGGTACTAATGGAGTCTGCGCGGCGACTGAGATGAGTGTGAGATACATCTATTAAGATCTCTGAAATGCTTTATGCTGGCAGCGCGCAGCTTTTAACCGACGGGGACACACACACATACACACACAACAGTCACATAGATTGTCGCTGTTGTTTATTTGATTAATTTGTTTCCAAAGTTGTAAAGAAAATTCTGAGAAATTCGGTAAATGCCGCCGCCCAACAATGTGTGCGTTGTCTACGTGTAAATATAAATATTTGATTAATATCCTGAGCATTGCTTAGCTGCAGGCGCGAACATGTGCAGCGCTCGGGGTGGTGCTGGGGGAGCTACAAAATCTCCGACTGCTGACTGGCCCCAAATCTGCATTTGCGGATGTTTACAAAAAACTTGGCACCCAGGCAAGCAACCAGGCAGTCAGGCCGGGCAACCAGGCCCAGTCCCAGTCCCAGTCCCCAACAGAAGACAAAACACAAACAACAAGATGAATGTGAAATACACACAAATACATAATGCATCCGCGAGATACTCTCTCACTCACGCTGCACACACAATACGCACTTTGTTTTATGGTCGTAGATTAATTTTAATTGTTTGTTTGTCTCGCTTGCAACCCGAAACATATCAGCAAATGTTGCATTGCACATTACATATGTGTGTCCACAAGCAGAGCACAAACATGACACTGTCTGACAGTCGTCGTCATATCTTGCCGCAAACTGCATCTGTGGGATGCGATCCCCCATCGCACAGAGCCAACGCTGCTGTGGTCTCTCCAGAGCAAGTAAATCACAGTGCCTGCCAGTACCGAGGGCAATCAGCGGGCTTCCCATACAAAATGCTGGGAACGTTGCAATTTCATTAAGCAAATACGAACTGTAAAATGGAAAATGCCAACTTGAGATGTTTCCCGGTTCTGCAGATGACTCCGCAGCGCTTCTGAGAACTTCCATGTAAGAGGAGCATGTAGAACAGCCCGAGCATATTAAAATGGCAAACAGCAGCAACGAAACTGTGCAGTGTCCAATAAATTAATGGAATTTAGCACAGGAATGCCTAAATAAGATAAACATGATATAATTACATTTTTTATGCCTTTGCGAGTTGAATGCCAAATTAATTGCTAACCGATTGCCTTTAATTTAACCCAGATTCGCTGCAAGCCAGGATGCTGTCGCTTTCACATATGTTTTTTTTATTGCCATTTCGAGCAAACTACAATTCGTATGTAAAATTTGACACATATATTACCCGGCTTGGCCTGGGCAAAGGTTTTGTTTTTTCAATTTGTTTCCCATTCATATTCGGCATGTGCAAAATTCGAAAATTTTCCTTCTAGCTTAAGCTTCCATTATCACTCTGCGGCGTAGAATTAGCGTGCTTGCAAATGAGTTGAAATTCCATCGAATTAAAGAAAAGTTGTAGGCAATAATTTCCGCCCGGTTGTTAAGCACTTCTGAAATTAATTTTCACAAAGATATTTGAAAGTAAACTTGAACCCGTTCGAATGGTTATCAGAAAAGTTGCGTACACTCTCGAAACTTTGTCTTAGATTGCACTTTTTTTTTTTAAATACATATTTACACACGAGATCAACTAAAATAGTTTGATCCCGCTATAGAATTGCATTTAAGTACGTCAGCAAACCAGAAGCTAATCAGCTTACACCTGACTATTCTGCCTGTTGTTTACAAATTAATCATTTAAAAACAAACAAATGCTAATTATACTTAATAACAATTTAAACAATAATTAGCTTTCAGTTCGCCTATCTATAGTAGATTATATAAAATATTAATTATACGCCCTGTTGCGAAATATTCCAGAAACTTAGAAATACGCGAATGTTTGTTATGTTTAGCAAAATGTTAAATACGTTAGTTGCTTTCAATCGATGTGTTCTTTCAATCATCATCAATCATTAGTACCCTCAGTAATTGGTCGCCTTCTGCTCATCCGTTTTTTACTGCATCCATATCAAATTAGAATTCAGCTTCGCTGTTTAATTGCTTCAAAAATACTTGATCTCCAATATTTGTAATTTATATGCAGCTTATTATTCAGTCAAATCTGCATGGGTATGGTTGGCCCTAAGCCAAATTTCTAATAGGTTATATATTTGCATTTCATTGAAAGAACTTTCTCAAATTCTAGGCGAATAGCGCCTTAATTGCTCTCAAAATTCAAGTCAATGCATGTTTCTCTTTGGCATAGGTGCGTCGCTCTCTCTTAAGGTAACTCTTTGGCAATGCCACAGACTGTGCGCTCTCACCCGCTCGACCGCTCGCCCGCTCTCCACCACCGACACCACCGCCATCACCGCCGGCCCAGCGCCGAGGCCGACGTCATTTGTTACTGCACTCTTGTGCCGACCAGTTCGAGTGCGAGTGTGCGTAAAAGCCGAAACGAATACCCGAAACCGAAACCGAAACTAGCCGAGTGATTGGAAAAGTTATTTCATAAATTCGCGCCTACGAAGACAGTCCAACAGTCAAGCTTTATGCGGAGATCACGGTGCTTGGATTCGGAAACGTTATCGTCCAGTAATTAGTGGAACTTTTCCCTGGATTTCCTATACCTCGTTTATCTGTGTCAGAGTGTAAAGTGTGCCGAGTGAAAGAGCTGGAAATCAAAATACAAAACAAAGTAATTACAAAGCCCATCAAAAGAAAAGTGCTGAATATGTAGGCTGAAAATTGGAACGCTGAACTCTTCGAATTCGACTTCAAATTAATTACTCGGCAATAATTTTGGAAAATCACAAGAATAATAAACACGCGATCGAACAAGCAGCCAAAGACGCTAACGAAGACGACGTGTGACACAGTTTAACATTTGGACGACGTCTTTGGAATATATACCCAAATACATTATCATATTACTTTCGAGTGTCGAACAGTTAAGAGCGCTCCAGAAATCCAGACAAAAATGGTGTCGAGCACAGCCCTAAATAAAGTTCTTATATCAGGAGCGCTGCTGATCGCGGGATGTTGCCTGGGTAAGTTGCATTCCGGCCGTATGATCGTATGATCTATGTGCAACGGAAATCTGTTGCAATTGTATGGTTTATGTAAGCCGGAGCACTTCGGCACAATCTAATCTCTGTGCTTATTGGGACCCTTTGAACTGACTTAATCGCATAGATCAGATTCACATGCATCGAAATGCGTTTTCGAGCATCTAAATAAAAATGATTGTGTGTCTGTGGAATGTGTTGGACAAGTTCTGACCTATATATATATATATATATATAAGTGTATTCGAAAGTCCATCGCATTGAGTGTGAGCATTCAAACTATCTTAATAGCTCAAAGTGAATCATTCCAGAGGATTAGACACAGCGCCCAAAATAGTATCAAGTATATCCTGATTCATAGTCACAGATTGTTGCATATAAGTATAAAGAATGTCTGCATTAATTTTGGAGGTATGACAATCTTTCTACGTGACAAAATTCAAGTGAATACGTCCAAATGATTCACAATCGGGGATACCCAAAATACTCAATATATTTAAGCGTGTGAGAATGATATTTTCATTGGAATAATGTGGAAGCTGTTGGCATTTGAAAAGCATGCAAACAAGTTCCGCACTCAAAGGTTGGCTAATCAATCTTTCAGCTATTGCTCAATCATCGCAAACATTAAGCGAATATAATAAGTGTGATTGCTACCTGTTTGTGAATATTTGCGTACCCAGGTGCTGTGAATGCAGCGCGCTTTTCAAACAGTAAAATCTCATAATTTATTGGCGAAAGCTGTCACATTAATGCAGTTATTTATCACGATCAATAGACCGAGTGCAGCTTGCACAAGACGAGCACTCCCTCGTTCAAGCGGGCACTCATTCAATAGGAAGTGAATATGCCAATTTTCAAATGAATGGTATGAATGCCGCCAGCACGACGGGGTGTGCGATTCGTTCGCGTATCGGTTACGCTGTTAATTATTCCATAGGTGCCTAATAGGCGACAACACAACAAAAACAACACCAACAATGCCTGAGGAAGTAGGCAACAGTAACCAGGTATATCGCCAGGTAACCGGCAGGGTAGGAAGCGAGTGCGAATCTTGACACACCGCAGCTCCTTGGTTCGATTTCGGTTAGGCAAGCGTGTCGAAGGAGCGTGAGAATGTGTGTTTTGCAGCTCGTAACCTCCTTTAACCTCAGGCATTCTTCTCTCTCCTCTCTCCTCTCTCCTCGCGTTACCCTTTGCCCATAAACAATGCGATTGCAATCGGTTTGATTGGATTGCAGAGCTTGGAAGAATCAACCGTTGTGTGTGTTTTACTTTCTCAAGGCAGCCAAACTAGCAAATGGCCATCAATTTCTGCTCCTCACACATGGCATTAATATAATACTCAAATCAATCCTGACATGGGTAAATAAGCTAAATGATCATCAGCAGCAGCGCAAACGTTATCTGTGCGCTTGTTTGTCTACCTTTTCTTGTGCATCTTCGGAGCCTCCTTTTCGGGGCGGGCATTAAATTTCACGACCGCGAATCCGAGAAACCGGAGCGATCGAACAACATCCTCGCGCTGTCTCCCAGTCACGACGCGGAGGGGCTCGGTCTGTGTCTTTTGCATAATTCTCTCTGGTATTTGCATACATATGTATATATTTATTTTGGAATCTCTGACTCATGCCAGAAACATAGATGTGGCTGTTGCTCTTGCTGGAATTCGTGAGTATATAAAACCGGAGATACAAAATGCAGATACGACGAGTTTGCTTCTGTCGCTGCGCTTTATGTTTAGCCGCCCGATTCATTCGCATTTTCATTCTCAGTCCAGTTCTCTCTCTCTCTGTCTCTCCCTGTCTCTGTCTTTGTCTTATTCTCGTACTCGTTCGGCGGGTGCATGCTACAGATGGGGGCACAATGGTATGGGTAAGGGGCATGCCGCAGAGCAGCAAAGCGAGTTAAACCAACTCGTAACCAATTCTCGACAATTAAAGAATCAATTTACTTAACAGAGCTGGCGAATTGGCGGCTGCCGCTGCCCCCTCCTCAGCTCCTGCTACAGCTACTGCGGTGCGGGTGCCGGCTTGAGATACAGGCAGGGTTCGGCTCAAGTGTGTGTGTGTGTGTGTGTGTGTGTGTGCGTGTGTGTGTGCACTCAACTGGGGCAACAGCAGTCAGAGGCGGGTATTATTATTTGAGCATGTGTGTTGGCATGGCGACTCCCATGTGCAGGCAATGAATGAGTACTCGAGTGCACATACAAAGTACTCGTTTATACTCATACATACTCATATGTACTCATATGTACTCGAATGTACATAAATTGTGCCACATTAAAACATAAAAATTAATCGTTTTGATCGGTATAGTAATGAAGAGCTCTTCATGTTGACGTTGATGATGATGATGATTCAGCTGCAGCAGAAGCCGCAATTCGGATGGAAAAACAAATTTATGCTGAATATGTATATATATTGAATCAACAAACATTTGTGATTCTTTTGATGAGTTTTGTAAAGATCAGCGCCTGAGGAATGACGCATGTATCAAAATGTCATAGATTCTACATGTTATTGTTTATTTAACTTACAATTAACGAAATCTGAAGTTTTCATTTTAGAAGCCACTTAAGTACTCCGATTCGAAAAGGGGTTTTGCGATTTCGAATGTTTCTTCTTCTTGTAGTTTTGAGCTGAGTCGCAATAAGATATCGGGCTCTATTGGTTGATTCTTTGAATATCGCGGCATTATGTACGACAGCACATGAAAGGGAATGGCCGAGGCCTAGCCATAAATAATAGAACTGGAAAAAAAGCAAAACAAAAGAATTGCTGTTGCCTTTTGCGCTAAATAGTTGGCGGTGCTGGAAAAGGAGTGCCGCATATTAATTACATGCCACAACCACTTGAATGGAACACGAGCCCTGGGCCAAGCCCTGCCCCACCCCCCTCAAACCCAAGGGTACCCAAAACGCCAGTCGCTGGTTCCCGGCTTACAAATGAGGAGCATTTTAATATGCGCTGAACGTAGAAGCACTTGGACTTGGACTATGTTTCGACCAGTGCGATGTCTATGCTTTTGTTGACCTATTCGATTTGTTGGGGATCTATGCATGTATTTATTTATATATATACCTATATATATGTATATATAGAGACGAGTAGCTGCTGCTGTTGTGGTTTTTGGCTATGTGCCCGCATCCAAGCACTTGCCCGCCTCATAAGTGCCGACACGTGCACTTTGGGCAACGGGAAACGTTGTCCATGCCCCTTGGCTCTGCCACTGCCACTGCCTCGGGTTGGGCCTCCCCTCGACGGTGTCTTCGTGTGTGTGCCAGAAATTTTAAGGCGCTGGCTGGCGCTGATCATAACTCTGGCGGGCAACTGTTGAGGCCAACTACATAAGTGAAATCAATGTTCTGTTCCCTTTCCCTCTCTCTCTCGCTCTCTCTCTATGTTTGATTTGTCGCTTTCAAAATGCACAAGTGTAAGTGCATATGCATGTACCGGGCCGTAAATTTGTAATTTATGTTTCGAATCGTACTTTCATTTGCATTTCTTTTGGGCTTTGGGCACTTGATCGCCTTTGTGGCCCGCTTCAATTGATAATCGATTATGGGACAACACGCCCAATTCAATAAATTCTTTGAGTACCATTTCGATTTGCATTTTCGATTCGAACAGCTTTCAATAATTGCCAGAAAATGCGTTAGTTCGACATCTGTCGATTTTTAGCTAAATGCAATCCCCTCAACCAGGCGCAGGACACGCGGCCTTTCAACTCCAATTGTATGCGAATATTTTGTGTGTGCATCTGTGTGGGTTATTTGTCAATGGATGTCCGTCTGTCCGTCCGTCCTGTGTCTGGAGTCTGCGTCTGCGTTCGCTGCACATCTGCCTGGGGCAGTGCGTAGGTAGACCTGGTTTATGGCTGTGTCGGGCTCTCCCTCGGGCCGTAACCTGATCGTTCTTTCACAGAACCAGAATGCCATTATCATTATCCGCTTCGCTTCATGTCTCTATCTGCCACCACGCCACACAAACAGCATAATTTTCGGCTCGTATAACGCACTCGTCAGTTGGCCAGACGGACTGAGACCTGGACTGAGACCGTCAGGGTCAGTCACGTAGGGGCATGCTGGCAGGCAGGCAGGCGGTTCGTAAGCCTGAAAACACACAGTCAAACAGACGGACACGAGAGTCAGACGGATAGACAGACAGGAGATCAAAGATCAGAGCTGCAAATGCGCTTTTGGGCCGCTGCCACAAATGAGGCACTCGCGGGCTTATCAGGTAGTAAAAATGCTGCACTTGGATGATTCCAGTGACTGGGCACAAATCCACAAGCGGGCACTGGGCCCTGGCCCTGGCCCTGGCTCTGGCTATCCAGTGGTCAGCGGCAGCGTCATTCGCATCGTCATCTTCAGGCGCATTCGGGTCAGCTCTAGGGGTTATTAGCCGAAATTTTCGGAATCATTGTGCTTATGATAAATTGTTTTTGGCCCAATTCTGAGTACCAATTAAAACAGGAAAACAAGCTGGAAACAACAACAAAAACACAATCAGCTACAATTGTTATCTTAAACATTTAAAACATGACACAAAAAAAAAGAAGAAGAAGCTGATTCTCATGAGAATATATGTGCTGAGGCCTAAATATGGAGCATTACAAGAGTTTTTTAGCCTAATGATAAAATTCTGCTACTCTGATTTTTTTTACTTAGCTGCATATATACGTGACATAAGGAGTTGTCGATGGAATATGCTTAAAATAATAAATAACAGCTTAAAACCATAAAAAATGCAGCTAAATTAAACTAAAACTTCGAAGATTTCAGAAACTCGAGTCCTTGTTGACAAAAACAGTTCAAGAACCATTTCAAGAAACATTTCAAAAATAATATATAATATATAATAATTCGAAATTAAGTCCAGTTAATGCGAATATTTTATCAAATTATTTCACACTTTTCACCACTTGAACAAAGTGTAAGCAAACATTTTTTGTCGCTGCCTTGTTGCACAATATTAAGTCCATTTAGCTCCGGCAAATCGACTGCATCCACTGTGTTCCCGGTTCATTGGCTTCTTTCTGGGAAGCAGCAGCAACCATTTCTTGTTATTGTTATTTGTTTAATTTTATGGCTCAAGTTTACGACAAAGAGAAGTCGACGGGGTCAATGGGTAAGCGTATGTGCATTTTACGTTGTTTTTTTTTTTTATTTGGTAGTTGAGGAAACGTATCCGCATAAAATACGTCCAAAAGGAATGCATCTCGAGAAACTCAATTCATTGATAGAGGGGCGGGAGCTGCTGTGGTTCCGCCTACGCGAAAGCAATCCAAGTTCACTCACCCACATTCTGGCACATGTCTGCGTATCCGTATCCGCAATGCATTAGCTGCTGAAATTTAAGCCCACTGAACGTAAATACCCTGTAACATGGGTAGAGTGGGTGTGTTATATGAAAGGAGGTGGCTTTATTGTCGTTTATATTCGATTCAAGATCTCTGCTGCTAGCAAAACAAACTTCTTTAAAATAACTAATATACCCATTTTACTCACTTTCAATGGGTATACGATATAAACAATTGAATTAAATACTTCACCCCGTTACGCTTGTTAATCTTTCAAAGTCAATTATGTCTCATCCTTCGCAAAACTTTAGGCAAATCTCTTACAGGGTATTCTTATAGTCGCGCATTCTGGTAATAGCATTCCTAGCTGTTTGTTATTGTGCGAGTGTCCGATCTATATGCGAAGTAACAATTTCAACACGCAACGCTGAGCAGCCGCGGCGACAAGGAAAGCGACAAAAGTGGCTATAATAAAGTGTGTGCGGGTGCGGGTGTGTGCGTGTGTGTGTGGCAAAGAATAATACAATAAAGACAATAATGACAACAACAACAACAATAACACAGTCGGCAGCTATAACACACACACACACACACGCACACACTTAAGCGAGACGCCAGAAATGGCAGAAGCGAAATACAAATGTAAATTTAAACTTTTTTTACAATCGCCCCCCCGCCCCTTCACTCCCGACACTTTGTCTGCCCCTGGGAGCGAGGGTGTGATATGCCTGTGTGTGTGTGTGAGTGCGTGTGTGCGTGTGTCTGCCCGTGCACTGCAGTTGCCAGAATAAAAATGGACATTGTTGTGAAATGTTTTTCGATTTTGTGTCCACTGTCGACACCACCAAAACAAAGTGACGCCGACAGTGACAGCGACGCCGACTGCGACGCAGACGCCAGCAGCGACGTAGTGGCAGCTACTGCGCGTATAAGCCATGCCATCAATGTTGGCCGCATTCCCCGACCCCTGGACCGAGCGCACATGCACATGTGGGTGCGGCGATCGGCCGACCGACACGGGGTGGGGTTGGGCCGGTGGTGGGGGGGGGGGGGGGGTATGTTTTCTCTTTCCATTCGCTTATTTTAATTTCTGTTTTTCGTATGCCCCGTGCACCCGAGTTTCATGTGACCCCATTTCCGTGAAATGTTTTTCCATTCGACTTTGACAAAATACTCGTATGTACACACACTCATATCATTCTATATGTGTGTGTACGACCGATAAAAAGGAAACGGTGAATATTTGAAACGGGGAAAAATTCGAATTGTCTTAATCTGAAATTGCAGATGCTGCTCCTAGCTGTATCTGTATCTGTATCTGTATCTGTATCTGTATCTGTATCTGTATCTGTATCTGTATCTGTATCTGTATCTGTATCTGTATCTGTATCTGTATCTGTATCTGTATCTGTATCTGTATCTGTATCTGTATCTGTATCTGTATCTGTATCTGTATCTGTATCTGTATCTGTATCTGTATCTGTATCTGTATCTGTATCTGTATCTGTATCTGTATCTGTATCTGTATCTGTATCTGTATCTGTATCTATCTGTATCTGTATCTGTATCTGTATCTGTATCTGTATCTGTATCTGTATCTGTATCTGTATCTGTATCTGTATCTGTATCTGTATCTGTATCTGTATCTGTATCTGTATCTGTATCTGTATCTGTATCTGTATCTGTATCTGTATCTGTATCTGTATCTGTATCTGTATCTGTATCTGTATCTGTATCTGTATCTGTATCTGTATCTGTATCTGTATCTGTATCTGTATCTGTATCTGTATCTGTATCTGTATCTGTATCTGTATCTGTATCTGTATCTGTATCTGTATCTGTATCTGTATCTGTATCTGTATCTGTATCTGTATCTGTATCTGTATCTGTATCTGTATCTGTATCTGTATCTGTATCTGTATCTGTATCTGTATCTGTATCTGTATCTGTATCTGTATCTGTATCTGTATCTGTATCTGTATCTGTATCTGTATCTGTATCTGTATCTGTATCTGTATCTGTATCTGTATCTGTATCTGTATCTGTATCTGTATCTGTATCTGTATCTGTATCTGTATCTGTATCTGTATCTGTATCTGTATCTGTATCTGTATCTGTATCTGTATCTGTATCTGTATCTGTATCTGTATCTGTATCTGTATCTGTATCTGTATCTGTATCTGTATCTGTATCTGTATCTGTATCTGTATCTGTATCTGTATCTGTATCTGTATCTGTATCTGTATCTGTATCTGTATCTGTATCTGTATCTGTATCTGTATCTGTATCTGTATCTGTATCTGTATCTGTATCTGTATCTGTATCTGTATCTGTATCTGCATCTGCATCTGCATCTGCATCTGCGTCTGCGTCTGCGTCTGTATCTGCATCTGCATCTGTATCTGTATCTGTATCTGTATCTGTATCTGTATCTGTATCTGTATCTGTATCTGTATCTGTTACTGTATCTGTATCTGTATCTGTATCTGTATCTGTATCTGTATCTGTATCTGTATCTGTATCTGTATCTGTATCTGCATCTGTATCTGCATCTGTAAATCAATCTGTATCGGATGTAGCAGTGGTGGAAATGGATATGAGCTGCGAACTGTTAAAACAAACATCAACAAAGCACTTTGATGAGTAGCCCTAATGCATTGCCAAAATAAAATACGCCGGTTTGAATTTCAATTTAATTCAAACGTATGTTACAAGTGATTAGCCAGCAGGAAATGTGGGTCATAATGCCCCAACCCCTGCTATGGCAGCCACCGGCGCGCAGTGTCTAGATTTCATAGCTATTTTTATTACTCTATTGTTTTTACCAATGATCATTTCTTGTTTTATGAAAATACCCTGCAGGTCAAATGCTCTCGTAAAACTTTAGATGATCAGGTCGTAAAATGATTTTAAATTCAAGGTTGAGATCCACCCACCTATTTTGTTTGATTTTGCTTTGTGATTTCAATCTCCCGATATTCAGGAGCCTATAAAAACAGATCTTTCTGTAAAGATTTTTCATGACAACGAAATCAGCAGGCAATCCATTAACTGAAATTATTTAACAAATTCCATAAATTCTTTATTGACTGCAGCGTGATCATATTCATAAAATTTGACAGACTTTTTTGACTTTTTATTGAAGTAAGATATTTTAGAAAAAACGTTTAAGTTTCTTTATTATTATATCATAATTGATATGTAAACTATTAGATTTTGAAAATGTTTGTTTCTTTCTTTGGTGGTTCTATTCAATATATTGCAATATTTATCGTTGCAGTGTTTTCTTACCCGACATTTACGGAAGATGATGATGTCGGGATGATGGCTGATGAGTACGACTACGGTCCCGATGATCAGAGCGTTGCCAGTCAGCCAGTCAGCCAGCCAAAGCCAACAAATATTGCAAAGTCCGCCGTGCCGAAAGCCAACAGAACTGTGATCAAGACAGGAATTCTGGGCGAAGATGTTTTACTAACGTGCGATGAGAAGATAACAAAAGGTATGTACTTAAAACAAAATTGATTTCGAGCTGACCTAATTCTGATGTTCGTTTCAGATGTTGTTATAATCTGGTACCAGAACTCCAATGTCATCGCGCACGGTCAAAATTTATTACTTCCAAACTTCAGTCTAGATCCGAAGAGCTTTGATCTGACAATACTGAAGGCGAGTGCCCAAAGTGCTGGTGACTACTACTGCCAAATTCTGCCACAGAATGTGTTCGTGCACACAAAAGTCATTTTGGGAGATCATTCGCTTGACGTCATCACGCCGGAGAGCTCGAAGTCCGCTCAGGATAGTTTGCATCGATTTGCGTTGATGTGGCTCCTGATGCTGGGCCTGTTAGTTCTGCATCAGCACAAGCATTAGTTAAGTTTAATATTAAGCAGCGATTTATAGAATGTACCCTGGATACACCGAAATTGCATCTCTGTCTCCCTTCTGTCTCCAAAAGCTAAATAAGAATTTTAAGTCTTGTTAATCGTGAATTTATCTATTTTGTAAAGACAAACGATTTTATTTATTAAAAACCAAAGTATACAGAAGTAAATTTATTTTCTATTAATTTCCATTAAATAACAAACTAATCAAAAAAAAAAACATTTAATTTAGTAATAATTTTAATTCATATTTTAATGTATGACAATTCTTAAATCTTAGTCGGAAGTGTATATTCGCAAACCTTTCGTTGCCTGAAATTGGGGATTTAAAAACATTACGTCAAAACAATACCAAATACATTACAAACCTCAGCTTTAAGTTCGGCTAGTGAACCGGGCTTAACACTCCCAGCTGACTAAGGCCTTTGCTTATCATTTATTTTTAAGATTTAATTAAAAGCACAACTTTTTAAATTCATAATTGCCCATTCTACTGAAAATATTAAAATTCCTAAATACTTTCACAAAGAAATTGTGGGCTAAATTGGATCTGAACCCAAAATTGGCATCTATCAAATATAACTAGAATATCCAATGCTTGGGGACCAAGATTTTCAGCTCATATTATGTATTTGCCGAAATTGCTCAAAAAAACAGGACTTCGATATCGATTGTTATCGATTACTTGGAAACGGGGCAAGTTATCCAATATCGGAAACAAACTCGATCTGCGCGGGGACTAGGAGGACCTACAGCTAAAATTTCAAGTCTCTAGCTCTTATAGGTGCTGAGATCCTTGCGTTCATACATACGGACAGACAGACGGACATGGCTAGATCGACTCGGCTGCTGATGCTGATCAAGAATATATATACTTTATGGGGTCGAAGATGCTTCCTTCTGCCTGTTACATACAGTTCAGGGAATAAAAACAGTTCCGTTCGGGTTTCAGTTACTTCAGTTTACTTTCGATTCTGTTGCAGACCTTTAACTTGCCCCCAGTTCTTTAATGGATTGTCTTTCACCCGATGGATCGCAAATAATACAATGTTGAAATTTTGCTTTATTTATATCGGTATGTATATATGTATATTCTTAATGTCGCATTAACTAAATTAAAAGAGAAAAATGTTACAATATTTGTTTAAGACACTGGCTTTTAAATATGTATGTTTGTTAACAGGTCGGCTCACGAAATTAAGTTTTGCATTTGCAAAATTCATATGGAACTTGACTTTAAAGTTGAAACAATCTTTGCATTGATTGCTTGCAATTGGCACGTTTATTTTCAATGTTTCAATACTAATATTATGATTCTTAAATAAAATATAAGTATACAAAATATATTCTCATATTTGTGTGTGTGTCTGTGTGTGTGTTTTGATTGTAAGCATGCGAGCATGCATAAGTATATCATCGATCTGTATGGTCAGCGGCTGCATATATATATATATCTATGTATATATCAATGTATATGGCCAATGGCAATTTCAGGTATTGTAGCTAACAAATTTCAATCGAAGCCAAACAAATAAGCGACCATCCTCTCCTCACCTGATTATAGTATATACGATATTATTACAAAAGTACTTATTAACATGCCGTTTGTTCAATCTCTTAATTTTAAGTAAGTATCTTCCGGATTCCTTATCGTTCATAGTTACCCACGTTTATTTCCATTTCGTAAAAAATAGTACATGTGCGCGCGTGTGCGTGTGTGTGTGTGTGTGTGTGGGTAGGTACACATGTATATTTAAGCTTTGGTCTAGTTATCATAATATTTCAAATGTTTGCATAATTCGAATATATATTTGTTAAATAAAATCTTGTATATCTTAATGCTCGGTTAAACAAAACACGAAAAACATTCTCATTCATACACCCCCCCGCCTATATGTCACTAGATCCTCATTAACCCATTTCTTTTTTCCTTCTTATTTACATTCTTAGTTTCGGTATCTGTATCCGGTATGTGTGTGTATATATAGTATATGATTCTGTTTCTGTTTCTGTTCAGGTAATTAGGATGTGCTCCATTCGGATTCTAGAAATCGTCAATGTTAACTATCCGTAAATACAAACAAATAAATATTATATGCTAGGTTTTGGGCGGTTTTCAACCGATCGTCGCAGTTTTTCGTTTTTTTTTAACTTTATCTTTAACTAAACTAAGCTAAACATAATTCGTACAATTCTTCCTTCCGTATGCTGTTTCTTGGCACAAATGATTTGTTGTTTTTAGTGAAAATTCGCCTATGCTTGATTGATTTTATATTAACATTAACATTGAGCCCACGATGTGGGCACTTTCAGGCGCAATAGCATTTTGCATGTATAATTAGAATACTTGGGTTAGGTTTTGTTGTTTTCTTTGCAATGGCATTCTTATAGATAGGCTGTTACTGCCCAGTTGCCGGGTTCAAGGCACAGCACAAGCAAAAAACATGTAACTCGAAATACGTATGTACAGTTCCCCCGGCCCTGTTCCTGCTCATTGAATCCCACAATCAACATCCTTAGAGTCGCAGCATGGATATGCTGAAGGCGGCTAGCATCAGGCCGGGCAGCATTCCCATGGTGCACGCCGAATTGTTGCCGGAACCAACCCCAAAGCCGGCACGCACCAAGTCACCCGGCGGCACAGCCCCATCGTCGATTTCCTCGGAGTCTGAAACCGAATTGGATTGGTGAAAAGTTCAAGCATATTTCTATTCAATTAAGTTACCCTCTACGTCCTTAATGTGGAAGTCATGATCTGGCGAGAAGTTGGACCAGCCCTGGGTATTCTTCGTCTTGACACGCGCATGCCACAGGCCAGGCGACAGCTCCATCTGATGTGTGATCTTCCAGATGCCGTTGTCCTTGTCATGGCGTTGTGTCTGTATCACCGACACGGTGCTCCACGTATACGACTGCAAATGTGTGGAATTAGTAAGCGTGGAAATCAATTGGATGGAATAAGAGAGCTCTAAGAGAAAAGGTTCCATTGTGCAGCGTTTGAGGAGGAATTATATATAAATTGTTAATTGGCATAAAATTTCAATTCCACATAGGATCATACAAGTCGAAAAGCATGCTTAATGAAACTTTGCGGAATTGAAGCGAAAAGGGAATACAGAACAAATTTCTTGTGGTACATACTATGTTAAGCTTAAATCAAGTTTTGTAAATCTTTATATTGTGAAACTTACCCCCGTCAACCTGTAGTCTAGCATGGCCTCGGAGAGGGGCTGCAGACTGCGGACCAGCCAGTGCATGGTCACCTGTTTGCCCTCGATGGAGCTGTCCTCGTACTGTGGCGTCTCGGGACGATAGCTCAGCTGGATACGCACCTCGTTGGAGCCAATGGCGTTCTCAACGTGGCACAGATACTCGCCCAGATCGTTGGCCTCCACATGCTTGATGAGGAGCATGGTGCGATTGTGCGCCTTGTGCAGTGTGTTCCTGATCGAGTACTTGTCGGACAATGACAGTGTCTTGCCGTCCTTTATAAAGAAGCTGATGGCAATGGGATTGGCGCGATATTCGCAGTAGAGCTCCGCCGAGTCTCCTTCCTGTGTGTTCACATGGTGACGATGGGTGGAGACCTTGGGGCTGTACTGAACATCGACGGTGACCATGCCGTGAGGCGGATCAGCGCTGCCGTCGTCGCCAAGGCACTGATAGACGCCAGCGTTCTCCTCGTCCACATTATCCAGAACTATGACGCCATTGGCTGCATCGCTGGGCGGTGGCTGCAGTCGCTGACCCTGAGCGGATGGGAAGATGAAGTGGGGGAGAGAGGCAAAACATTAGCATTCGGCACAACTAGTAAAATCCAAGTGGGCTTTGGGTCAATGGTCAACCACTATACACATACATTCAGGGACCATTTGATATCTGTCTTGGTGGGCAGAAACGCGCGGCAGACGAGCTTGTGACGGTCGCCCTGCTTGAACGTCTGCGAGCGATCCGTAACATCGCGATCGTCGCAGAGGATCGACAGCCGGGCGCCCACGATCAGTTTTGTATGCTGCCTCACGTCCTGCGGCAACACCACACAGTAATAGTCATCCGCATCCTCCGCCGTGACGCTGCCAATGCGCAGCGAGTTGTTCCTCATGACTTCCACCCGGTTGTTGATGGCATTCTGGCCAGTTGCCAGCACGGTGCTGTTCTTGTACCACATGGCCACATTTTTAACTGTCAACGGGTTGTTAAGACTAGGTTAATAAACAAATTTAGTGTATATTGAAGTACGTACTCTCAAAGTTGCGGGCATCACAGTTGATGATCACATCGTCGCCTGGCTTGGCGTCTATAACAACATCCGACTGCTCGAAGTAGGGTGGCGCACTCTGCACATCTTCCACAATGGGCGCTGGTGGCCCGTCCGAATTGCCAGAGTCATCCTCTCCACCGTAATCGTAATCATCGTCCTGGTAGTCCTCGCCATTCTCCTCGCCAATCGGTGACGCCCGCTCTGTAAGAGGAGAGGCATTGTGATAGAGTCAGTGAAAGGCAACTCATCTACGACCGTGACTCATATTCCATGTATCTATAGCTGGTTCAAGTCAACTCTCAAGTGTACAGCTTGTTTGCATTACTTGTTTACACGGCTGACGGAACTCTTAATTGGAATTGATAAAAATCACACCCCATCAACGCATTCAATAGGGAGTGCTCGCAACGAGTTCGTCATCTGATCTACACTTTTTAGCAAATTGACTTTTACACCGGATGCGAAAGGGTGAACTCATTTGTCTGCATTCAAAAAACTTTCAGCCACCAGAAGCATATGCTTTGCCAAAAACAAGGCTTAACTCTGACCCATGTCCATAACGAAGGGGTCCCAGATTGTAAAGTAAATATTTTTGGACTTTTAGTAAGGATATTTTGTAGATTGTCCTATTTAATATTACTAATGTACTCTATTGACTCTACCCTCTGTAAGTCTTGTGGTTTTAATAATGGATTGTCTATATGTCCAACACTTCTTAAACTTTCTTTGAAGACCCAACAAAAGTTTCCGATTGTACAGATCACGCTTTGAACCAATGCTACGCCTTAGGTTCGTGGGCCCAGTTTTTCCCAATTTCTTAACTCTGATTTTAAACTTTGTCTGCTTAAATTTTTGTCAATTGAACAGATTCTAAGTATAATAAATTAAATTAAACTAAATGGAACCTGAACCAGCAACCGAAATAAAAATTAATTATTCTTAGATTCTTTACACAATAGAGTTCATTTAGCTTAGTTTCAAGCGAGCCCGTTTACTTTTACCAAATGGTTCGGTTCAGATTTATGTCCAGCTATTGTTTATCCAATTTATTCGGTTGGGTTCATAATCAAATTAAATTAAAACTGAACCGACCCATCTTAAAAATAGAAATGGTTTATTGTAGGTTTGGAATCTTTTCTATTTCTTACCCAACCCGTCTTGAGGTTTGGTTCAAAGCTATACAAATATTTAAATTTAAACCCAAAAGATTCGGTTTAAAACCGTTTTGCAGCCTTGGCTGTAAGTCAATTAAGTAGCTCATATAAATAACTAGAAACTATATAAAAAGCGGCAAATTTTCTATTATTTTTAATTATACGCAGACAAATTGCCACTAAAAAGTAACGAATTTTTCGGATAAGGCCGCTAGAAATTTAATTGCCAGCGATAAAGGTGCATGGGCCAGAGTTGACCGATGAAATTGGTGTCTTTGAATTACATGCACGTAATCAAAGACGATCATAATATGTTAATCGAATGACGAATTTATGGCTGCGAATCACAAATCGCCATTACCAATGGCCAATAGCTACATAAGTATATGCCATTTGCATGCCTTGTATGGGGATCGTTTTTTCTAATTTCATCAGTGACATCTAACGGCAATTCCAATCTGACGACGCGGTGCCCACGCGAATGAGTCATTTGCCAAAGGCATCGCGTCATCAAAATCAACAGTCTTTTGCTGGATTTGGATGCGGAACGATGCGCCGCAAGGTGAGGCATTACGCAAGGCGCTTCAATTGGCTGCCACTCGTTATCATGGCTCGATAAAAGCGCTTGCCTTAAAGAGTTGGCAATCAAGCAGAGTCTCGGTCGCAGCCAGAGCCAGAGCCAGTTATCTTATCCAATCCCCCGCAAGACAGATAAACTCACACGCAGTCAACCCCTTTTATGGCAATCAGCTCTTCGAGCCGAAAACAACTTTTGCCAAAGGCCATCGGGCGCGGGAGAAATAGATATAGAGATTGAGAGTGAGATTGAGATTGGGGGACCGAGACCAAGACCGACCGAGACCTTCACCGCCAGCATTGAATACCAAATATTACAATCTTGGGCAGACGCAGTTGTGTTTTGTTGGTAAAATTTCATTTGCCTGAGTCAAGGCCAAGTGCGTCCCAGCCCAGTTGTTGCCACTCCAATCCCAGTAGTCGACTGTTGGCATTCGCGCAAGTGGGTCAGCTCGAGAGGCGCCCCGGCGGGGCAAGGCTTTTCACATGCGTCAGCTGCTGCTGCTGCGGCTGCTGCTGCGGCTGCTGCTGCTCTCTTTCAGTTTCAGGGCTCTCACTCCATTGGCCCGCATTGTCCTTGGATCGATGTCTGGGGGCCAGCAAACAAAACACAATACAGCGCCAGGCACTCAACAGTCTGCCATATGGATGCTCCAGCAACCCCTCGGCTCCAGCTCCTGCTGCAATTCTCGATGTGGGACAATGGCGTCAGGACGTCGCGGCGCCAACGACAGCACCCTTGCCCCCCTTCTTCCCCTCCCACCTACCGCTCCCTGCTCGATGAGCTTAATGTCGTAATGGCTGTGGCCTTTGATGGCGTTTGCCAGCGCACGCATTGGGACTAGACCGGCAACATTTGGTGCTTGGAACTGGCGTCAGCAATTGGCATTCGGGTCTCAATTGCTTTTGAATTCCTCGACCGAACTGTGCCAAGGGATGCGATGCAATTCGTTATGCCCCAAGAAAGCACATTTATCAGATGACAACTAAAAGTTATATGGTAAGTAGTTTTTTATCTTATCTCATCCCTAAGCAACTTTTATGACCTTGTAAATATAATTGTCTCCTCTGCTGCGTATGAGTTTATTTTTCATCTTGACTAATACGCATTGTTCCCTTGCCTTTTTTCTCAGTGTATTAAAACAATGTATGTTTTAGTTATAATACACATTTGGCTGCTTGGCGCTTATTTGATCCACATTTGGTTTATTTATTGCTACCAACATTCTGTCATTTCGACGCTGTGCTGATTCCATCTCAGCAAAACATGTTTTGCTTAAGATTTTATCCGAAGAACAACCTGTTTGTGCCTTTAAAATATCCACTTACAAAGTTTATTGTATTAATTTGACAACGTGGAACATTTAAGAATAAAATATGATAAGGCATTGATGGTTCGAAACGTTTTCGTCATCAATTCAAAGTCAGGGCTGCAACCTAAAAAGCAATTGACGCTGGTTTGAACCAGCTGTCTGGCTCTAAGTTCGATTCATGTGTCATATATTTTCATAATTGTAATAAAACATTTGATTTAGATTGATTGAATGCCCGTTCTACTGAAAATATTGCAAGTCCCAAATATTTTCATACGTAAGTTGCGGGCTACATTTGAACTGAATCCAAAATTCGTTAAATAAGTCCAAAGATTGGGATCTCAGTTTTTTAATGCTTAGGGACTAAGTGTTAATCAAAAGTTTCTTTCGGGTTTTGCTTCATAGTAAAAAAAGGATGAAGGTATTCCGGGCTGAAATTGCCTCGACTCAAAGCCAATTTGCAGCCTTGTTTAAAAGTATTCAATCTGTCTATGTTAAATAAATGTTTTAGATCGTTTTCCCACTATAGTTATATAAATAGTGACTGTTGGGAAGTGACATATCAGTAAGGTCAGTATGGAAGCAGATAACATGCCCGGCATCGCATCGCATCGAGTCGCATTGATTGTTCCATTCAATTCAAGATTTAGTTCAAGATGATTGCTATAAGCACGTATAATATGTGCGAGCGTGTTTTTGTATTTATTTCATTATCGTCATGGATGTTGTGCCCACCTCTGTACCGCTGCACCACACATTGCAGTCGATATGTTGTGTGCTGTCCTACATCTGCTGGTCATACGCATATATATATATATATATACAGACGAATATACAGATACTGTCGAGTTATGGGGTCAGTTCGTAAACAAATAAAACGCCATGTCTGTCTCAATGAAATATGCTTATAAATAAATATGAACGGATCGCAGTTCGCCAAATCCATGTACGATTTTGGTTTTAGTTCGACTGTCAAATCCGCAACGCCAAAATTGTACACGCTATTTCCAGGGAATGAAAAATGTACAAGTAGCTTTGGCCACAGGCGCGTTTACAGATGGCCGCGTGTCGGGTTACGGCAGCACAGTCAAAAATATGTTTTACATCAATTTTTCATTATATTATTAAGCGTCAAAAGTTATCAAGGCAACAATTTCTTGACTATTTTTCTCCCTTTCTTTCTTTCTCCCCTGCCCTACGGTTAAGATAATACTACATCCATGGATCCGGAACCTCGCTATTCGAGAGGGTATCTATCAATGTTAATGGCTGGCCAAATGGTCCGACAGACGGCATAAATTGCTTTCCATATGTATGTCCAAGTACATAATGCGATTCCACGAATTTGCATAACGTCTCCCAAATTAAACCAAAAATAAATATGTACATACGAAAAGGGAAATTAAATTGAAATCAATTGGTTCGGCATCGATTGGACTTTTATAAACATACATACACATTATGTACAATTACCTATGGATACATATGGAGCATATGGACTCGTGACAGACAGTCGAACTGGGAAATGTGATTTGCACACGGATCACAAAGGGCGTGCCGCGGATCTGACGAATCGCCCAATTCGATTGATCAAATGCTGGCCAATTTCCATAAAATCGTTGCCGATCGGCAAGTGAATGCGTAATTTGAGAAGTTTTCAATTTCAAACGAAATTTAAATGCGGAAATTCTTGGGCATGCAAAATATCTGCGTACGTAGGTCCAGCATAATCGATCAGCTAATTAGAATTTTAAATAGTATTGTATTCCAGGAACCTCCATTAGTATCAACCTATGCTAAGAATTTTGTGGCCCGCCTGGTATATAATGGCATTGAGTTCCAAAGAACCTTCATTGATATAAAACCCGGAATTATAAAGCTAACCCGAAATTTGATTAAAATTGGGAGCTTTTTAATGCTAAAGTAAAATTATTCAAGGGTAGATTTTAAGTATGAAGAGAATATGGTATTGTTTCAAAATATATTTGAGAGTTTTTTATTGTAAGCATTCATTATGTTTCCTTATATATCCAAGATATGTAAGTTGTATCTCTATCTTATATATTATACAAGAATAATGTTGCTAGCTTTAGATGCCAAATTGATCAATAGGCCGAACCTTGAACAAAGAGCCAAGCCTCGTGCAAATCTGATGAGATTTGACCAAGCTATGGGGTTGGGAAATTTTGACCTATGTCTATATAGGATATTTGAGGTTACCATTTTTACATGAATTTTGACTTAGAATAATGTTGCCAGATTTAGATGCCAAATTGATTTTGTATGTATATGTGTGATTGAATGAATTAATGCATGAATGTGTGTATGTTTTTGTGTATGAATGTATGTATGGATGTATGTGTGAATGTGTGTGTATGTGTGCGTTTATATGTATGTATGTATGCATGTAAATTGTCTTATAAAATACCAATAGCAGACTGATTTGTCTTGTTGCGCGGCAAATTTAAATAAGAAAACGTATTTATTAAAGATGCCCTCCTCCTCGATTCTCAAAAATTTAAGTAAGGCTTGCAGGCTCCACCTATGAATTAGGCGCAGGTGGCTTCAACGCTGGAAGCTGAGGAGCCGGAGGAGCACCAAGGGGGCGGAGCTGGAGGCGTATGTATGTAAGTATGTATTTATGTATGTATGTAGGTATGTAGGTATGTAGGCATGTAGGTATGTAGATATGTAGATATGTAGATATGTAGGTATGTAGGTATGTGGGTATGTGGGTATGTAGGTATGTAGGTATGTAGGTATGTAGGTATGTAGGTATGTAGGTATGTAGGTATGTAGGTATGTAGGTATGTAGGTATGTAGGTATGTAGGTATGTAGGTATGTAGGTATGTAGGTATGTAGGTATGTATGTATGTATGTATGTATGTATGTATGTATGTATGTATGTATGTACGTATGTACGTATGTACGTATGTATGTATGTATGTATGTATGTATGTATGTATGTATGTATGTATGTATGTACGTATGTACGTATGTATGTATGTATGTATGGATGTATGGATGTATGTATGTATGTATGTATGTATGTATGTATGGCTGTATGTATGTATGTATGTATGTATGTATGTATGTATGTATGTATGTATGTATGTATTTTCACATGCATTTTGACAAAGAATAATGTTGCCTGGCCTAGCCCGTGGCACGTTTAAAATAAATTCTCTCAATGATCTTTGAAAATGAGTTTTGTTGACTTCTCAAAGAATTTATTTAAACCTCAAGAAACAATTCCCATTCCACAGTAGTCATTAGTCTCCGTTCGTTTATGTGATAAATGTTGTAATCATGAATTAACAAACATAATTCGTACAGCTGCTTATTATATCAACATCCGTCAAATTCTTTCAAGTAAATTTTGATGCAACAGCCAAAATTTCAAAATATTTACATAGAAGCCATAAATATGCTTTGAACTTGTTGCTCTGGCTAAAAGTCTATTTTGATGTATGTTTTTATGTACTGTTCTCTGTGCGGACTTCCAGCAAAATATGTGTGCAAAGTTTTAGCTGAAAACTATATAGAGAAAAGCGTTTGTATGTGCTCGGGGAAGGGGTTTGTCAGATTTCGACATACGCCATGCTGCCTTATCGCATGCCTAAAATTGGAAAAGCGAACATTTAATTAAAAATTTGTATTCTTGGTGGCCCCCGATGGCAGGCAGCACTGTGTACCCCACTCGCACACTGTGACCGCTGTGCCCAGTCGCAGCGTGTAACCGCGGAAACCAGAACTGGATGAAAACAGAGATCCATAGAGTTGGGGGCGTCTATTTTGTTGGCAGGCACTGGCTGCGTGTCTGGCATGAGCAAATATCCAACATCAACCTGCCATTCTTTGCACAACAAATATTTGCTCTTCTCATTGGACTATTCCACTGGGGACTGGAGGGGGGTGCAGAGCCACATGGCCCACAGCCTCGTTGGCATATATAGAGTTGGGTTCGAGCCAGCACCCAGCAGTAAATGACTAAATAATGCGAGGTTCTGCGTGTATCTCTGAGCTATGAGCACTGGAATGTTTACCGTTATCAACATTTATGAAATTTAACTTTCAACAATAGATAAGCATTCAACCACACGATAAGATATGCTGGGCTCCGCGACTGGCATTCTGTTTTACGGCGACGGCTTTGGCTTTAGCTTTGGCGCAGGTAAGCGTAACACACGTGGGTACTCACACAAGTATACATATACATGTGTGTGTTCATCGTCATACTATATCGGCATGATATGTGGGCTGGCGCATGGCTCATGCCTATTAATATGGTACACACAGCTTTGGTAATTCATAATTTTGACACATACGTCAAACCCATTGACAACGCCCTCCATTAAGTTACGAATACTTTTGTAAGCAACTGTAGTACGAAAGAAATATTTGAAATTCCTTCTATTTAATAACCAACTAATAACAGGCGTTTAAATGAGCTGAACAGACTTTACCTAATCTGAAGAGAACCCCCTTTCTCTTAAGGTTAAGTGTAAATATATTTGTAGTGCATATTTTATAAAAATGCATATCATTTGCTTATCAAGCAGTGATAAATAATAACAATAAAAAGTGATTGGATTAGCTACACTATAAAATTACTTCTAAGCTTCTGCGTCTTACGATATAGAAAATCATATATATTTACTAGATCTTATTACCCAGCTTTGCCCGGGCAAAGTTTTCATCATCAAACTTTAAACATTCCTTTTTTACTTCTATATAATTCACATAGATCTTTGAAAATAAGTTTGGGACCAAGCAGATCGTTAGCAACGACTTTCATACAACCCTTTCCGCTTATTTTCCACTCTGGCGGGTGGAATTTCTAAAAGCAACGCTCTAAAGTTTAGTAAACTTATTCATTTCAGCCAGGACAAAATTATTTTTGATATTTTTTGTTTAATAATCAGAAATGAAAAAAAAAACACAACTTATATATTTATTTTCATTGCATTGCTAATTTTTGGGGCGTGTCCCATGTGTATTCGATTTGTCGAGATTTCAATTCTCTAGGGTCCAATATGAGCTTGAGTGCCAATTAAATAAATCCGATTCATATCTACATATAGCTCTAAAGAGCAACAGCCAGGTCTGATGAGGACTTACCGCCATAAAATTGTCCAATTAGCAGACAAATGAGTAACATCCACGTCGTAGCTCTCATTGTTATCTCTCAGCTGGTTTTATTTGTTTGTTTGTTATTTGGCAGCAGCGCACGCACTTAAAATTTATATTTGTTTTTTGAATTTGCTGCTCTATCGGAGGTAGATCGTTAACTGCAATTAATATGTTTGTTGGAACTCGATTTAATTAATTTGCCTCCAAATTGCTACAACCAATTGCGGACCCAATTGGGCGCCGCAAAGACACAAAATTTCTGTTGCTTTTTTAAATTGTTCGAATTTTTCTTTTGTATGCGTCGCGTATCGCGTCGCGGCCACCGGAAGCTCAAAAAAAAAAAAAATTTGCCAAGCCAAAAAAAAAATAAAATACAAATTAAATATCAAAGAAAAGCGCGCGCATTATTTGAGTTATTGAATTCGAAATCAAGCTGTGAGCTAAGCGACCCCAAAACCAAAACTCGTGTTGTTATTCGCAGCTGTGCGCTAGAAATCGCAGCTTCCACTGAAAAAAAGTGGACAAATTTTCGCTGATTGGCAGCTAAATGATAAACATGGCTCTAAGTATTCGCCTAGGTTATGCAAGCTGCCTCTCGGATGATGTTTTGAGCCCAGTGCGAAAATTGGAATTTGTTGTTGCTCCGCTCTGGTCACTAATACGCCCTCTCCCTCTCTCTCTCACTCTCTCCTTCTTCATCTCTCACTCTCCATTTATCTGTGGGCTCGCTCAATGCCAGAGCGCTTGGCCGGCTGCAAAAGTGGGTCGTGTCGGGTCGTTGAGGTTGGGGGAAGGCTACAGGCGCGTGGCGGTCGGGGGGGTGGCCAGGGTGTGCCAAGTCGGCAAGCATGCAAATATGTATGCATATAAATAAATTAATGTGCAAATGCGAAAACTCAAAAACGAAAAATAACAACAACAAAAAAAAAAAAACCAAAAATTATTGTGGACATGACGAAGCCTCGACACCCTTTCCATCGACATTCTAACCAGAGATTTGTAGAAAAAATATATATGTATGTGCAAAATTAATGTGCGTATATGAAATATGTAAAGTTCACCACGCTCTGGATATATCTGTGCCAATTGGAACATGGCCTAAACCAATAACAATTTGGGCTTAGCAGACCTACTTTAGAAGGCCTGCATACTTTGAGGCAGAGTATCGAAATGCAAACATCTGAATACACATGTATGAACATATGTATGCAGCAGCATGTTTACATATGATATATACTATGCACATACATATGCACATACATGCACATATACATATGTAATATGCGAGCTACTCACAAAATAAATTTGCAATGCTTCGCAATGCGCTAAAAGCAGCACAACGAATACTAACCAATACCTATTCATCTATTCATATATTTGTTTTTCGCAAAAGCTTTTTTAAATGATGGATGAGTTCGAATATATAATCACCTAACACCCTTCACGAATGGAGGCGAGAGTTTTGGTCCAAACTCCCCTAGCTATATTTTAGGGCCTATTACAGTTATGACACCTCATGTGACAGCTTTTGACGTAAAAAAAAGCCTCTCGGTTATCAGAAATGACTATTTCGAATATATTTATCAATGTTAAACGTGACATGGCCTGTGCTTTCCATTGGACTTCGATTCTGACGAGGGCCGTTCAAGGTGTCACTTAAAGTACTTCCCTTAACTATTTTTTAGTTTTAACTGTTTTATGAACTACAATTGAGGATATGGATTATTTTCTGACTATATTCCCAGGAGTTTTTCTAATAAAACTAAGTGATTGCCTATGTTTTTTCCTACTAAAGGATCATTTAGTTAAATTACAGTTCTTAGAATCATTTTGGTACTAGCCAAACGGTCGAAACCGAAGATTGCAATTCTCAACAATTAATTTCCGAACGGCTCTCGTTGCACTTCTCGTACTTCTTCTTCGTCTTGGGGCTTTAACAATCTCTGCGCTTGTCTTGGCTTTTTCATGTCTTGTTTTTGGTCTTGTTGCCGTTTGTTTATTTACATTGCGCTCCAAGTTTACTCACACACACACACACACACACAAGCGCACAGATGCAGCCAAGGGCTGCACTTGTATGCGTGCGTACGTGTGTGTGTGTGTGTTTGAGGCAGCTGCAGCTGCGCTCAGTTTGCTATTACAGCGATTTTTGGAATGAGAAACGAAAACTAAAGTCCCCGCCTGAAAATTGAATCGAAAACTTTTTACTGTAAATAACAACAATCGATGTTTTTTTTTGTACTTTTGTTTTCAGTTCTCTGACACACCCCCTCTCTCGCTCTAGCAGCCATATCCATCTGTGGCTGCTGCTCCTGCTGCCCTACACAGCAGCAGCAGCAGCCGCTGCCATACCCCGCAGGCCCCGTCCCCATTCCACTCTTGCATTTCCATTTCCTTTCTCGGCCAACTCTCCGTGCATTCATTTCGCTTTCGTTTGCTGTACATTCGGCTGGGATAGCCGGCAGCGGCGACAGACGACAACTGCAGCCAGGCATCGAGTATTTTGCATACATTTTGCACATATTTATAGAATGCGCGGCCAATGCATTTGCATTTGCATTTGCATATTGCACAAGTACGAGATGTTGTATTTGGTTATTTGTATTTCTGTTTCTAATTGCGAGTGCGGCGAGTGCCAAAATGCATTGGGGGCCGCCACAAATCGAATTCGCTGTGGCAATGCCACATTTGCTGCTTGAGGCTTGTGGCAAGATATTTGTTATTATGAATCACGGGAGTCATAGAGTTAGTTTAAGGTGTGCGTGTAGCAGAGGCTGGCTCTGGGGCAGCTGCACCCGCCGCCTGGGCCAGGTAAAGAATGGATAAAGTGAAGTGCCTCAGCCTGTGCCATTTACACGGGGCAGCATCTAGAGGAAGAGAAACAGGTTTTGCGTTCGCCTGCGACTGGTCGGTCGCGAGATGCGAACAACGTTGAGCGACGGACGAAGAGAGATGGACGGAGAGTTTTAAACAACAACAAATATTCGGCTGAAGCATTACAAAAGGCAACCCAACTGGCAGCGACGACATATTGTACGAGCAATTTTGATTTACGAGCAGGTTACCGTCCACAGATGCTCTTCGAAGTTGTAACACTTGCACTTGCAACGCTTTCGCTTAACTTCGTGACGAACTTGTGCCCCTTATTAAATTCATTTGCTTCAGATACTGCCGTGAAAAAGCTTTTGCTCGCCCAGCGATAGATACAACTATGTGCATGTGTGTGTGTCTGCGCGCACAAAACAAATTGAAGTTTTCAAGTACTTAATGGTAGTATTGATAGGAGTATATTTTTTTATTTTTGTTATTTTTTGTGCGCTACGCGCTTGTTTCGTACCCGTCGCGATGCTTTTCAAGCGAGAACTGAAAGTAAGTGTAGCGCGTGCTTGGATGCCAGTTGGGAGCCAAAACGATGGAATGGAACATAGCCAACGCTCTCACAACGCGTAACAGTTGTTGTTGCTGCTGCGGCTGCTTGGGGCTGCTTGCTGCTGCCGCAGGTAAACAAATTCGTATCTTTTCCGCGTTCCTCTTATGGCGCCAAATATATCTGAGCGAGAGAGAGATAATCGGACGGTGTGTGGGTCCAGAAGATGCTCACAATGTCATTGTCAATTGTTGGTGGTTTTGCTCTGATTGAAGCCCTACACCGAATGAATACCCTCTACTAATGCGGTAGGGAATTTATGTCATGGAAAATATAGGTACATTATAGGAAGATTATTTTAATCGTTATTATTTATAAGACTAAAAAGAAAATTGTTTGAGTGACGAGTTTATTCTGCATGATTTTGAACAATTGGAAACAATACAAAAGACAATTATTTTTATAAGTTAGTAATGCTATAAGAAATGTTAGTTGGCATTACTAAGAGGTGAGTATGGGTTAGATTACTTTATCAATTTTCCAGAATTTGTATTTTGTCTTATCAAATTTTGTTAGTCATAACGGAAGTCCTTTATATCTTGATTTATTTGTCATCTGATGTGATGCATTGTAAATATGCGCTGTGACTGATGATGATCAAACCACTTTAAATTTAGCTTCAGATAATGACAATAACATTGATAACAAGAATTATTAGCTATCAATATTTTCACTGCAAATAAACATATGCAGTATTTTCAAATTTTAAATCGCATTAAAATATATGTAAAAATCAAACTTAAAATTTCCTCTTTCAAAAAACCGTTATGGTAGAGGTTTACTTTTAAGCAGTCGGTTGCTCTTTATTCTCACACAACTAATAAAACTAATTAAATAAACTGTTTTGTCAGTTCTAGTTTTCATTATTTTTACAATTTACGGTCTTACAATTACTGGTTCAAATTAATAGGTGTTAATAATTTGTAATATGAAAACTAAAATAACTGATAAATACACTTTTAGCTTTAGGCACTTTTTTTTTTAAACTTCGAGCTATCGATACATCGATATAAGATTTCGCATTTGGCACCAATTTGCAACACTGGCAATTTTTAATACTGAACTTACTGCGCGAATCTTTGTTTACAACTTGAATAATGGACGTGCCTCTATCGGAGTTCAATTCTCTGGACTTGGAACGCGAATTGTACGCCAGAGTTCTGAATACCGATGGCTCAAAGCAGGAGCGCTTCGGGCGACTGTTGGCAGCGCGGCAGACAGAGGCACAGGCGCCAAATCCACCCCCACCAAGAAGATCTTCCATTGCAAAGTTTGGAGCCCGCGTTCAGCTGGACGACTTTGCTGAAATTCAAATGTATAATCAGGCAGAGTTTGATTTGTTATCTGGCAAAGTGCGGTGGAGACTAGAGCGTGTGCGCAGGACAGAAGATGGCGAGGGATTGGAGTACTTTCATCCGGATGTGCTAAGCCGTATTGAGCGCAACCAGACGTATATGCTTAATATGGATGAATTCCTGGTACGCCAGGAGCCATATATTCATAAGGTAAATCCTATACAATATACATACTAGTTGACATTAAAAAGTTCATGTTTCCATCACAGATCTTTGCCATATTCGCATCGCGCACCAATGGCCAGGGGCAAAGTCTTTGCTATGCCAGAAGTTTGGCAAAACTGCGCAGCTGGGATGAAAATACGGAAGAATTCGAATGGCCAGTAAGTTGGCTATTGTATTTATCCATCCTCTGCATCTAATTCATACATTAAACAGCTTATCACAACGGAAA